AGGCAGGATGGGAGGCAGGATGGGAGGCTGCTTTATTGTCCTCTTCCTCAAAACACCAGATGCCCCAGCGTGAGATGCCTAGTGGGGGGGGGGGGGGGCTCCTGCACATTGACACCTTCATCTGGGCCAACTTTACAACACGAGTGATGCGAGAAAGATCCACATCTTTTCACCACTCAGGTCATTTGCTGGTTTATTTTTTAACCCTCCTGTTGCATGAGCTCGGCCGGCTGCGGGGCGTCGAGGAGCTCGGCCTTCTGACGCACTCCTGCGCCTTTCTTATGGAAATCGTCAGGCCCTCATGCAAATGGAAACACCCAAGCTCACATGAAAAGGGATTCAGCTCTTATGAAAATGATTTATTATCATGCATTTATTGGGCAGACGCTCTTACCCAAAGCAACTACCGACTTCATAGATCAAAGCACGACATATCATACAGCACCCAAAATCCCCAGGTAGGCAAAACTGATATACACAAGGCATCCATGTACATGGTTTGTGTACATCAGCAGGAGAAAGGAGAATTATCATAGTTTCACAGCACATTAGAAGAACAGTAAATAGAGATATCTAGACTCCAAGGTAAATAGATGAGTTATCGTAGATCAGTAATCACAGTTTTGCTCTTATTTAAACAGACTGTTGTAGAAATAGGCTTTTACACAAATCAATCAGATGGATACAATTCACCACCTACAGATTTCTAATAAGACAGACCAAAAATCACTCCTGGGATAAAAAAAGTTTGTAGTTAGAGAATTTGCTATGGGTTCATTCATTTTATTTATTTTGGAGACATTTATATTCAAATGACATATACATAAGGCAGATACACGCACTACTGAGATGAAAACCACAGCAAAAAATGCGAAGACCTCTGTTGATACTGTTAACAAAATGAACCAGAGATACTGCTCCTTTAAGAGTTTCTTCCATCTATCCATCCATCCATTCACCCTTCTCTGCTCGTAGGGGTAGTGGGGGCAGCAGTCTAAGCAGGGATGCCCAGACCTCCCTCTCACCAGCCACCTCCTCCAGCTCCTCCGGGGGATACCAAGGCATTCCCAGGCCAGCCCAGAGGTATGATCTCTCCAGCATGTTCTGGGTCTGCCCCAGGGCCTCCTCCTGGTTGGACATGTCTGAAGCATCTCCCCAGGGAGCCGTCCAGGAGGCGTCCTAGATAGATGCCCGAACCACCTGATCTGACTTCTTTCGATGTGGAGGATCAGCAGCTCCACTTTGAGCCCCTCGTGAGTGTTTTATACAGTTACCAATTATATAGACAGTTCTTGGTGCTTCTTGTGACAAAAGACACCTGTGATGTTTAAAATATGTCAGCTTTGTTGTTCCTCAACCTACCCTGAAAAAGAGAGACTAGCAAAAACAGAGTTAAAAGTGACCCCCCCCCCCCCCCATGACACACACACTAGGGTCTGGTTGATTATAGTGGTAATATACAAAGAGATCAATCCTTTCTGCATAGTCTCCATCAGATAATTCAGTTGTATCATACAGATCCAAACACGATCTTCCCACCAACCTGCAGGGAGAACAACACAGTGATGACCTGAAACACTAAAAGACATTGTAGAAACATTACAGTATTCAGCTACTCTGAATATGCTTGTTATAATGTGTGATTATATGGCTGGATGTTAAACTAAAAAAATTCAGTAACGTACTTGTAGACACCACCAGCTCTGTCCATTATTTACAACAGAGTGTACTCTTAGTGTGCTTCGTATGGTTAACAGAGTGTACTCTTAATGTGCTTCGTATGGTTAACAGAGTGTACTCTTAATGTGCTTCGTATGGTTAACAGAGTGTACTCTTAATGTGCTTCGTATGGTTAACAGAGTGTACTCTTAATGTGCTTCATATGGTTAGTCCTGCAAATACCTAATTCCTTCTGTATCTGAAGAAGTGTCTTCCATGATATATTAGAATTAGGTAGATCTCTGTTTTGAGTGGTAAAATTTACCATTAAGTCATAAAAATTAATCCAGTGTTTCTTCATGGCTCATAATTAGTCTATCATGACCCCCCCCCCAATGCGGTACCTTAAAAACATTAGGTCCTGCCACCCTGTGACACTGGGGGATTTTTAAATTGCAGTTTGATACTTTGTACTTTCTAACAGCTAGGGCCGAAAAAGCTCACCTCCGCTCTTCCTAAGGAACGTCGCAGACCATGTCTATCGGCTATTTTTAGATTCGGCCCAAATGAGGCCTACAGGAATTACGGGATAAAAAAAATATTATGTAAACCCTTAATTCATTTTTAAAAACTCAAAGTAATGTTAACAAAGTTAAATTATAGCCAAGAAAAGGTACTTGAAGTGAAGCATTCATGTGTGGTCACTGTCACTTATTTCGAACAATAGAATTCATTTCAATTTTTTTCAGTAGAGATGATGTCAGACACGCCTAAGAGCACAGGGCTCCACCCTCCAGCCAACAGTCAAAACAGGCACAGGCGCAGCTGGGCCCACAGAACGCCAACGGCAGGCAGAAAATCACAGAGCTGAAACTGTGGCACTAGAACAACCGAAGGCTGTACTTTCCACAGCTGACCTCAAGTTTCCCCAGCACCACGGTATTCAAAGGGAACCGGAGGAGAGCTCAGAGGGGAATTTTCTGATCTTATTCTAGGTCACCAGGGCTGTGGGTGACAACCACACACCACATAGGAAGAGATGAAAGAAAGAAATGCAAACATGCAACTAAACAGAAAAGCATCTACACAGAAGCTCGATAAGCTACAGTGCAACAATCCAAACATCAAATTGTCTAATATAAACAATCAGGTTGACTGACATTTTTCTGCAGCGCAAACAATGACACACTAAGATTACAACCAGTAATAAAAGGTAATGGTCAATTTTCAGAGGACAAGAAGCAGAATGTATGAAAGCCATTAATAAATAAATTTGTGTCTATCAATGCGCATGAATCATAATTACTAAAATATAATGGGAACACCCTGATGTTGAAGAGGAACCGAGAAAGAAAATGTTTTTGTTGAATGACTGTACAAAGTGGGAAATGTAATGATCATAAACGTTTATTTTAAAAATTACCTCATCAAGTACAAAACTGTACATACATCTATGTACACAAGTTCATAAAAACAAAATGTACACTGTTGTCGTCACAGCTTACAAGTCAAATGTGAAGGGAAAAAAAATAACCCATAGTAAACAAATAAGCTGCTCAACAGCTCACAAATGAGAATGCTACGATTGGAGAACATCACACTCCGGTATCAACATGTTTTGTTAGGATGCTGCCAACAAATGTACAGTCAGCTCACAGCTTACAGCAATAGCCCATCTGCATGGATCGGGTCAGATTCCTACCACAGCACACAGGTTGTAATGCACCAGTGACCCATTTCCAGATTTACATTTGTCCATCATTATAAACCTTAAAAAACGAGTTGCACAATGAAGATATTCAACATATTAAACAAATGACATGAAACACTATCACATCACTTAAGGCAAGAAAGTCCACTTATTGCTTTTAGGACTGCAAATGATTGCTGATCTAAAACCAGTTCAACAATACAGCAAACACACTAGCTGCATAGCAAATGTATAACTTGTTTTTGGTTTCATATCTGGGGTAGAAAACAATAGCCAATAAACAAGTAGTGCATTTTAAAGGATCCCCCCCCAAGTATCAATGATATTTTTGCCCTTGTATCTTTACTAAAAAAGATGAGTATTGCACCATTTTTTCAGTTGGGAAGCCAGTTTGGAAATCTCATTACTCCGGGTGGGAAAAGGATTTACACGATTCAGCTTGTCAGTTTCAAGGTAATCATAGTAAGTAAAAGTAATCATAGGCCTCTAAACAGCTTTAGAAATGTAACCCAAAACACTATATATCCGACCAATGCCACTGGGAACAGCCGAGTGTTAACAGTGCTTCAGTATTCGGGAGGGCTGAGGGAAAGAGCCTTTGAATAAATAAATACAATTTAGTTGAAGACGGAAGGGCAGTGCCAAAAATAGAGATTCAGATACTAAACAAGGTCCAAAGTCTTGGTTGGGCAAAGTTGCCCGGAGCTCCCTGCTGGTTCACGCATTGGCCGTCTTGTATACTTCCTTCCTGGTCGGTTTCACGCTTAACTGGATACAGTCATCAGGTAGTTCTTAGGGGGGCTTGTGCGGCCCATCATGAAGTTTTTGCAGTTGACGCCGGGATTGCGCGTGTTGTCGTTGCCGGTTACAGAGACGGCGGCCGGCACTTCGGCTTCGTAAAGCACGCAGATGGATCCGTCCTCCCCGATCCGGTAGGAAACCTCGTAGGGATCCACCCAGAGTGTCAACTCCCGCGGCAGGAGGAGAAAGAGCTGCTGACTATTCAAACCAATGCGGGTGGCGACTTTGCTTATGATAGGGTCCATTTCGTGGTTAATCCGAATGCAGCGGTAACCAGAACCCCTCTGGGGTCTTTCTGGAAACCAGTGATGTGCGTAGTGCTCTGCAAATAGAAACACAAGAAACACGTAAGAAAATCTAACCAAGTCGAAGAGTACTGCGAAATATGAATGGGTTACTACGACTACAGACGTAAGATGTCAGCCAACAACGCCAACTAAAGAGCAAAACCTCGGTAAGAACTACTTCCTCAAAGACGCCAAACAACAACAACTTGCCCAACTTGCAGGAGGGGGGGGGGCAGCCAGGGCATGTAGCGCACGAGAGGTGAATAGGGGGCATAACAAAGAGCTCGCATCTTCAATTTAGCTCATAAAGCAAATGCAGAAGATAGTTTGTATCATTTGGCCACGATCCTAAAACCTCTCGCAAAAGCAGCGATCTAACCTCCCCTTGTTCGGTGAATTACATGAATTCCTTACATTCCTAGTGGAAATGATTGTTACAATAGATTAATATTTAGCCTTTCAGGTTTTAATAAAAACGATTATTTACCTGATAGTGCTTGCTGTAAGCAGTCCTTGAACACTTGCAGTTGTTGTTCAGTGAGGAAGCCCCTAGTCCCCAACAGACTGGCAACAAAGCCTGCCGCTGCCGCTACCTCCAGGGCCATTTCAGCTTTGCAGCTGCTGCGGTTGGTCATTTTGCCTAACTTTTGTCGATGAGCTGGGTAGTTGAATCCTTTAGGGGGAATGCGGTCCGGTAAAGTTCCAAAGAGTCTTCAAAATTCACGAAAACGCTCCTAGACGGCAATTCTCTCTAATCTCGAAGATCCTCCGACAGCTGATTTCTTCAGAAATTTTAGGTTAAAAAGCTATTGCCACATAACGCAATGAATCTCACTAACGAAAACAAATAGTACCAGTTGACGAGTGCTTGAACATCCTAAGTACTGAACCGAAGGGGTCTCTGATCTCCTTTTAAGTTGGGAAGTACAAAAGAGTTACATAATCTAGTCAACATCTTGATTGCTAGACGTTTGTACCCAATCGCTGACCTTAAACGTAAAATAAGCCATGTTTTATACTGTGATTGGATGGCTGCATGAAACACCCTCCCACCAAGTTTCAAGAGCACGATGCAAATTAACTTCCGCTCGTCCATATGGGGAAACTGACGTCAAAGCCAATGTGCGGTATGACGACAGTATCGGAAAGTACTATTATTTTGCCTTGGAGCAAATACGGTAGCTTTTGCGTTGATAAGTAGGTAGAAAATGCTGGCACGATTCAGACACAAACGCGTAACTCTGAGGCGAAATCACAAAATCACTGGCTTTCTAGGGTTCGACGTTTATTTTTAATGCAAAAAACAGCATGGCTCTTTGCTTTTGTTTTATATAGCACGTGAAATAGGAATACGGGTGCATTCTTAGTTAATAAAATGACTATAACAAACGACAGTGCTACTCTCTCATAGCTGCTTTCACTAGATTTACATCGTTCCTACAGTTATGTTAAATTAACACACCATGTACTGCTGTTACAACCACGACGCATTTTCGTATGTACGGGGTGGGGTGAATGTGTAATGTTACATTACGTTTTCTTTTATTATATAAATAATAATGATAACAATTATGCACACATTAACAACTTAAGCTTGCCGAAATAATAAACGAGCGGATGTGTGAATATAAATTACAGCAACTTTCGCCACGGTACGATTTTAAAAGTACGGGACGAAATGCACGTATGTCATAACTCTGTTTAAAAACACATTCGGATGATGGGCAGTATTATATTTCATTACCAACCCATGACACGGAAATCAACGCACAACGTGTGTGCTTGACCGTTCCAAGTCTCGCCCAACAAGAAATTGCTGAGTGTATGAATCTCGTCGCCCTGGCTTTGCCTCCGCTCTTCCTGTGGAAAAGCGCACGTAGGGTGGAGGGTGACGCGGCCAGCCGAGGGGCGGGAGGTTCAGCCACCGCATTCCATTTATGGTGCGGGGTTCAAAGGCCTGTAACGAGGATCCGGGCCGCTGGCAAGCTAAACCAGGCACGCTGTTTATTTACTCCCAGTTAGTTAGTTTTAGAAGTCCGGCGAAATAACACCTTTTTCTAATGAATAATCAAAATAGTGACAGTAGCAGTATGATTCTCTTGAAACTACACACACAGTTTTAACGTGTACAGTTGTCTCTGCCAAGGAAACCCGGAAGCGTTGTCTTGGCAACGTAACATGTTGCCCGGTGTTTTCAACATTACGTTTTAAGGTCTTTCACAAAACCAACAGTGTAATGACAATGTGCACTGAAAATACAATTCATCTTAAAACTAATACACATTAATAATACTGCAAAGAAATAAAATAAACCACATCAACGCTAACTCGGCTGGAGCAAATGCGATTTAATACATATTCACTGTTCGCTATTCCAATACCAAGAACAGCTGTTTTTTATTTTACAAAAATACTCTAAGTGCAGAAAATTATTTAAGCGCTTAGACTTCAGTATTTATTCGTTTGACTATACCGGCTTTGTCGTGCGTTGGTCAGCATATTACTGACACTAAGGGGCTAATCCCATGTTATTAAGATATAGGCCTATATTTTAAAACTTATCGTATAAATCATTTCGATGATATCTGTGTTTATGTATGTGTATTGGTCAGCAGGCAGAAGTGAGACAAGTCTGCACACACATATGTAAGAATTGTATTACTTTGTAAATAATCTAGGTTTGCAGGCTGCCTCGACGCTTTTTGATGTAACTAATTTTAGGTTTATAATGGAATAATATAGATTTGCCGTAAGATTGCTGCGTGAGCGTCTGAAGGCGTGTCACGCTAGATGTACGTGTGAGAGATGGCAGTCCTGGTGTAAATAGTAGTTTTCATGTAGGCCTACTTAAAATGAGCGCGCCACCTCCCTGCTAATTCCCAAACATGGATTCAAATTTTAACGTGTAAAAAAGTTAATCGCAGCTGTGTGTTTTACTGTAAGCGTTAAAATGAGCATTTCAACTTTTTTCCCCATTTTGCCCCAGGAGAGGTCGCCTATTGTACTGGCATGAAGGCGACAGCTGTGGAACATATATCCATTCTTTTACATCGACTCGGAGTATTCCAATTAAAAATAATTGTTTTGTGCATGTCTCATCATAATATACTAAATTGAACATATAAGTAGATTGATTTTTGGACTTTGTTTTAAAACGCCAAAATATTATCCACGGGGACGGATCCATATTATCTGTACACGGGTATACGTGTACGTGGCAAAATGTTTTGATTACAACAATAAAAAAAAAATAGATTACGTTTTTAAACACCACGTCCGTGGTAAATATTGCATTTTGATCACAATATCCGCCAAAATTCGACATGTTATTGATAACTGATCGATGTTCACACACTTTTAGAATGAGCCATTATCTTATGTCATTTACCGTTATCTTGCAAATTAGTGGTTTAAATCAGACACTGTTAATCCTATATAGAGTAAAAAAATATTATTATGCGGCTTCAAAATTCAGGAAAAAACCAAGTGTTACTGAAACAATGACGTCAATCATTTATGCTTAAAAACTCAACAATGACGAGCGTTAAAGTTTCATTAAACTTAATTGGCTGGTAGTGTTACTGAAGATCGTTTGAAAAAGATTTAAAAACAAAACAGATCGACGTAGTGAATTACATTTGCAACGGAGTAAAAATACGATTGCAGAAACTACTATTTTGTATTCTACCGCCAACAGCCCATAGACGATGTTCCAGTTTATAAGAAAAGACAGTGAAATACAGTACAATAAGCACACCAGTACTGAGCCCCGGCACAGGGCTCAGTACTCATTATGTGACCATTTTGTTGCCATGGTTCCCCGGACTCCCTTACGTCGGCTTCATGTAACAGGCTCGCGGGGGTGATGCGTTGGTTGCGCACCACTTTTTACCGTAAAAATAGCAACGTGATGTGACACAGTTTCCCCACACAGCAGATGACAGTAAACACTGTCCTGTGCTATGAAGATATCCACAATGAATTTATAATTGGGCAGAATGGATTTGGCTATTTGGGAGATCAATATGTGCCCATGATAACATTAAACATTAGAGCACCATGGTCTAAGCATGTTTAGAGAGTAGAGTTACAAACAACATATGAGTGTTGGCCTGCCACTGCCGCTTTGTGGGCGTGTTGTAACCTACTAAGTGCTTTGTTTAGTCATGCAAAATGTCAAAGCATGGGCCCACTCTGTTAGACCTGCCTCTCGCACTCACTCCGTCATCACAGCAGCGTTGTGCGCAGCTAGCTTGGTTTTTCTCATGGAGTGGGAGTGAAACACTGAGTTGCAGACTTAAGAAGTTGCTGTTTTGCACCCGGATACGATAGATACCGTTAAACAAATCAGGTGCCCACACCTGCCTGGGGGCGGGGGGTGTTATTGTTGTGCACAGAACACAGAAACAAGAATCAGCAATGGAAACAATTAATAAGCACCAGAGTTCTTACACAGCTGAACATAGTTAAGGAAACCTGAGAGACTAAGAACCGCTTCACTGCTGACTGTTGTTAAATTTACTGTTCTGTTTCATCTCAAAGCAGGTATTTTGTCCTGTTTTTCTTTGGTTTGTTTTTTCAGTTGCCACTGTGTCAAAAGTTTGACAACTTTATGACTGTTACCAGTAGAAAATTTGTTGGAGGCACAAAACCAGTATGAGAGAGAAAGTGTGTACTCTGTCCACAAGATAACAGGTGTTCCAAGCAAACCTTTTAACCATAAAAGGAATCTGCAAAACTATTCTAAAAAGCAAAAGTGCTTTTGGTGTCATCATTCTTTTATTCAAGTTCATTTCATGTCCTTTTCAGTAGTAAAACCTGTTTGTTTTTATCCTTGCAATTCAATATCTTCTGGCACAACAAAGATTTGGGAAATGAGTACTACATGACGTGACCTACAGTACTGTGGAAAACTCTTAGGCAGTCAAAGGAAATGTTTAAAGCTATTTATCTGGGTAGTAAGCATACTGTGTATGTGCTCAGAACAAAACACATCAACATCAAAACATATGCAAATTAAGAGTAACAGTGAAAACCAACAAGAATTTCTTCTGTTCTCCATCAAGTTACAGATATCTTGTTGGATGGCTAGATGAACACCTCTCCTCGGATGCACCTCAACCATTTTATGTATTTGTTACATTTCACAACCAGCTCACTTAATTCATTCATTAATAATTACTGTAAAAACTCAGTGGGGTATTGATTGACCATATGAGGTACATGGGTGTATTGGGTGGTTGCTGAAAATACAGGGGTGACTTTAGGAGAGGTTTTGAAATAGTTAAACTAACACACTTTGTTATTATTGTTATTATTCATGTTATTATAGTTTTACATGAAGGTCATTGAAACATAATTTTGTTTTACCGGCTAAGACTTTTGCACAGTGTTGGGTAAGGAGTTTATCTTCAGGCTTCACCTGCAGCAATGCCTGGGTGGTAAAGGTTAGGCAAACATCACACCAAACCACTCACCACGCAAAGACAGTTGGCTCTTTAAGGTGCTATACATGCTACTAACTTTAGGGGGCTCTCTCAGGCTTTAATTATACCATTTAGATATATTTACTTGATGTCCTTATTGTTGCGTATTAAATTAGAAGTAATAAAATCTTGTTTTTATTGGTGAATTTCTTTCATGTTGTGTTTTTTTCAATGGTTTAATGCTGTGCCGTGTAAACCTGAACATTAATTTTAGCATTTGCTGACCTTGCTGGGTTCCTAATCATCATTATTGGCAGCTGTAGCCTTCACAGTTGAAAATGTTCTGTCATTCAGACACATTCAGGTGAAGCTCATTTACAATGATAATGAGGTGCAGCTTTACGTACAACTAAGGACAGACAATTTTAGAACTGCTTGGCATTTTAAGGCTTGTTGACCAGGGTAATTCACTAGTGTAAAATACATGAGTTTATGAACCTCCATCCCTCTGTGAAAAGGGTGGTAGTAATGGAGAGCATTTGATTTCTGATGATAGACCTGAAGAGGTGGGAGATACAGGCCAGATGAGCATTTACAGTAGCTTGTCAGTTATCTCGTTGGCCCTGCCTCACCCCCACAACCAATGTCATCATGATTTATTGATTTATTTTAAGAGCTGGTTGGGAAGAGCACAGTGTGGAGCAGGCACTAGAACAAGGAGAACCGGAGAAGGGAATGAAGCAGAATGAGCAGAAACCGAGAGCAAAGAGGAGTAGAAATGAGCACAGAAGCGAGTCCGTTCCTGTGTGTCCAGCTGCTGCACTGCAGGGTATGTTCCAGGCTATTTTATACATGTTGTAGTCTGGCCCATGATTAAAAAGCCAAACCCAGAACCTTTGGTCCTCTGGAACTACAGTATATATCTACATCTATGCTCCCATTTCTCCTTCAATTTGCAGACTTCTTTGGAGGATAATGGCATTGCTGAAGTATTCCGGTCTGGTTTTTAAGCTGATCATAGCACAGAATCTACCATTTTAAAGGTTCTGAATGACCTTTTATTAATTGCTGATTCTCGTCATTCTGCTATTCTTGTGCTTTTAAACCTTACTGCTGCTTTTGGTACAGCTGGCCATGATATTCTTATGTTCAGTCTTGAGCAGTATGTTGGTACTGGGTACTGCTCTTGCATGGTTTAAATCCTATCTGACAGGCAGAGTTCCTCAGTCAGACTTGGGTTCTGCTGTTTCACCTTGTCTCCACTTACCTGTGGAGTCCCCTAATGGTCAATTCTTGGTCCCATTCTCTTATTATAATTACAACTCCTACAGTCAATTTTTTTAAACAACATGGCAACTCTTTCCACTGCTACGCCAATGATGCACAAATCATTCAACCCCCTAAGTCCTTGATAGATGGTGTGGACAACATTAAAACCTATATGTTGCTTGATTTTCTTGATTTTAATGAAAGTAAAGAAGAGATTGTGATGTTTGGGACCTTTGACCTCCTGGGGGCCCTGGGTGCACATGTATCTTGCAACAAGTCCTTTGCTAGCAACTTGGCTGTGATATTTGACAGTGAGTTTAAATTTCATATACAAATTAATTCTGTTGTCAAGGCCAGCTTCCTCCAGCTGTGAGTTCTGGCTAATGCCAAGCCTCTTCTCTCATTTACTGATTCTGAGAAGGTAATCCATGCTTTAATTTCCTTTCACTTGGACTATTGTAACTCGCTTTTCATTGGTGTTAGACAGCATAGACTCTCTCGCCTTCACCTTGTCCAGAAGGCTGCAGTTCAGCTCCTGACAGGCAAATGCATACATGACCATATAACACCGACACTAGTCTCTCTTCATTGGCTACTGGTCTTTAATGTGTTAGCGTTCGTTAAGTACTATATCAGCAGTACTATATCAGCAGTACTATATCAGCAGCTTGGTACCTTGCCAACCTCCTGCCAGCCTACTCTGCTAAAGGCCCCTTCAGCCCTCTGATAAGGTGCTTTTGGTCTTGTTAAGTTGTGGTCTTAAGCTTTGGTCTGCTCCTACTTTGAGCACTTTTAAAACCAGTTTGAAAACTCATCTTTCCTCCGTGACTTTTGATAAAAAAGACACACTCGTATTAATCTCCTTTCTTTAAATTTACATTTATTTATTTAATTTTTATTATTACTATTTTTCTTTTGTGTTTGAATTTGTACAGCATTTTGGTTGAACTTTGTTGTTTTAAATATGCTCTGTAAATATATATTTTTTTGGGATTTGATTTGAATGAAAGGCTGAGCCCAAATTTGAGGTGTGCAAAACATGGGTGTATTGGGTGCATAAAGACATGGACGTGGACCTAGAGAAAGCTGAGGTGGCACCATATTACCACCCAACACCTTGAAACCTTGCAGTCACCAAGCTGTGCCCAAAATCGCAGGAGTCCTACTTTCTGAGCTTATTATGCTCAATCACTCATATCATTTTATATTTACATTTTATATTTACAACCCAGAACCTTTCAGGGATGGACACAGAAGCCAAACCTGCTAAGCCATCTCTACAAATTGCATCCAGTTCATAATTAAGTTGGGAAAATATCTTCATGTGTTCTATTTCTGGTGAGTCAAGATCATCGGTAGAGGGATTGGATCTGAGTTCCACTCTGCAATTTCCCCAGCAGAGCTGCTAAAAAAACATTTGGTGAAAAGATGCTCTATTTCGCACTTAATGTTCAGAGAATTATTAGAGAGCTTGCGTCTCAGCTGTGCTGCACTACCTGGTATTGGTTTATTTTTAGTAAATTTACAAAGAAATGTTAATCACTCACTTGTCATGTAAATAGCAGATGACCTAGACCAGGGGTGGCCAATCTTATCCGCAAAGGGCCGGTGTGTACTGTATGTGGGTTTTTGGGATAACCTGTAGGTTAGCTGTTCAAACCCAGGTGTGAGGACTCTTCAGCCAATCAGTCCTCTGATTAGTAATATAATTAGGGAGCTGCAGCGAAAACCCACCACACACGCCGGCCCTTTGTGGATAAGATTGGCCACCCCTGAACTAGACCAAAGAGGTTGCCAAAATTCAGATCAATGCATGAACCACTTCCGTGGATCTTTTGAGCCGGTTGCTCACCCATTACCTTAATAGTGTCAGTATCTCATGCTGCTTCCACATTCAGTCGCACTCTTTGTTGGTGTTGAGTTTAGTCCTTGGCCCAAGCACTGCAGGCATCCCGCTGCACATCTAAACCAAAGCGCTACACACATGAGCAGATGTACCGCTGTGCACTGGCCTGAATCTGAGGCTCAGCCAGGGGAATGCAATGGCCTTGAGTGAAGGACAGCTGTTCTCAGACCTGTCTTTGAGTAATGAAAGTAATCTGTCACTAAAATCCAGCCACAGAAATTATGTATATTCTGAACCGGGAAGGATGAAGACATTTGGCGAGCTTATAACTTGTGTACAAAGGGAATGCATGTGAGTCTGTCTCCAGTGTTATGACGACTTGCACACCTGCCTCTCATTCCTCAGAAATCATCATGCACCCCATTAGATCTGCTGTTTTAAGTGCTTCAAAGCAGCTTTCTGCAGCTTGTTATAAGTGTTTGCTGTCCATCGCCATCCGTTCTGTGGATTCCTAATGACTCCCCATCTATTGCCTGTATGCATGGGTGTGGAGCCCAACAGTGGGCAGCTGCCAAGGTTAGATCCTGTTTGCTGCTGGCATTCAAAGCTCTAGAAGCCAAGGGTTAAAAACCCATCTACTCCGAGCACCTGAGAGCCCACTATTGTCGGTAGGTCATTCACACATATCTTATGTGGCTTAAGCTGAAAAAGTAAGAGTCAAAGCAAATAAGGACAACAAGGCAACGAAAAAAATGTGGGGATGAGCCGGACTCCAAAGGCATCATACACTACAGAATAGGGCATTAGGTATCAATCAGCTAAAACCCCAGTGATCCAGGCTTCACAAATGACTGAACTTTTACTATAAGTAGAATCTGCAGAAACTTGGGAATGTGATCATCGGTTAATAAATCGTGGTTCTAAATGATAATGTGAGGTGAAGCTCCCTGACAGTTGCAGGAACTTTCAGCCTAAATTTGAAACTACCCGAGTCTGTTGTCACTTACATTTATGTCAGTGCGAAAGGAAAAGACTTCAGCTGTGTGTGTCTGGTCCATATTCGTATCTGCACCCTCCCAAAAATGAGATGCCTTGGGTAGACATCAGCGTTTTAGGATATTTCAGTTATTCTCTTACATTATTGATTTCCCTTGCCGATGCCCTTACAGCCTGGAATACAATCCCCTACCGGAAACATTGTGTCTGACTTTGGCATTGGCCGATGCCCTCCCGCGGTGGGAGAGACTAATGCTAAGACTTTAAAGCATTGCAACCCCGTATTTCACGTCACAGCTGAACATGCACTTTGTTTTGTAACAGCATCTGAAGCAGAGATGATGTTCAGATGACAGAAATAGTTCTATGTCCCCCCCCAATGGCCTGGCCACTGTGCAAAGTGTCTCTGTCGTCCAAGGTTAATTATATCTTACTTATCCAGGCCAACAAGCATAGGAGAAATGACAAAATGTGCTTGAAGCCAGTCACGTCACTGCACACAGCCCTAATCCACGTGGAACCCACACGTCAGGATGCTGTTTGTTGATTTTAGTTCAGCATTTAACTCTATATCCCACAGGAAACTATTTTTGATCTTGGAAACAAGGGACTTGAAAGAACGCTCTGCACCTGGGTTATGGACTTTTTAACCACCAGGACCTTATCTCTCCCCCCTCTTGCTAAACACAGGTGCTGCATAGCACTGTGTGCACAGTCCTCTGCTGTCCTTCCTCTTAAAATGTGACTGTCTACCCATCCCCAGCTCAAACACCATTGTGAAGTTTGCGGACAACAGCCATTGTAGGGTTGATTTCCAATAATGCATTCAGGGAGGAAGTCCTGAACGCGACAGGTTGGTATAGGGGAAATAACGTCAGTCTCAGCAGGCCAAGAACCAACAAACTGATCCTCAATTTCAGGATCCAGAAGAACAAAGCACACTCCAGAGAGAAGGTAGGGAACCGTGTCCAGTTTTTAATTTCTTAGGGTTCCCATTACGGAGAACCTTAACGAACACCTCCAAAGCAGTGAAAAAAGCCCAACCTCAGCTTCTGTATCCCAGGCTGAGAATGATCCAACTTACCTCAGCAGCTTTTCCTGCTGCTCCACAGAAGGCATCCTGACTTATCATATAGCGCTGTGGTATGCTAGCTGCATGGCTGCAAACAGGAAAGCTCTACGACTCGCCGTGAAAATGCCACAGCAGCTCATCAGCAGAGAGCACTGAAAAGCAGCTTCTTTCTGTGGCCCGACTCCAAGGTTGTTCATTCTGCTACCGTGGACTGTGCACTTTTACACACTTCATACCTATATATCTATCTTACATCTTGTTTAGCTCTTATGGTATATTCTGCCCACATTTTACTTGATTTTTATGTATTATTTTACATTTCCTAAAGTGGATATTGTTATTGTGTTATTTATTATATGTTGTATTATTAACTGTTTTCGAATCCATGTTTTGATGTGTCTTGTTTACTGCTGATGCTGTTAGGAGTAAGCCAAACAGTTTTTTGTTGCATAACTGGGCAATGAAAATAAAGAATTTTGATTATGATTTGTGCACAGTAACACTGGTTCTGTTCATATTCAGACTATATATTACTCTTTATATGTACTAACACCTCGAGCCCGAAGTTAGGGAAGGCTGCTCTTCCCTTCTGTGACCCTTTATCTGCAGCATTCAGCAAAGTCACAGAACAATCCTGCAGTTTCTGTTGCTTTGCCGATTATAGGTACCTCTACTTATCTCTTTTGCCACCATAGTTGCTCTGGGTGGGAGGGGCAGCTAAATGAAAAGAGAGTAAGCTGTAAAATTAGCTTGCAGTAAGTAGTCCCTATAGACCCCTCCCAACTCCTAACCAACTGGGTTCAGGAAAGAGCTCCAATTCTGGGTAGGAAGAAGAAGGGAAAGGAGAGGAGAGACGACATCATCAGCTCACAGACGCAGTGGTCGAGGGGTGGCGCGATTTGGGTTGGGGGCACAAATGGATCAGGGAGCTTCCAGGGCTGCTGGATGAAGTGGCCCATCTTGTCCTCATATTTGCCTCCTCCTCTTACTTACCTTGTTTTCCGTCTTCCTTAATTCTCCTTTTTTAAAAGACATCCTCCCCTCTTTCACCAAATGGCAGTTTTCTTCTCCGGGATACACCCTCCCACTTGCTTTTACATGATGACACACTTTTACATTTTAATATATGCTGTCTTGTTCACAATGTGACACTGAAGTTCATACTATCTTTTCATCCGTCTCTCACCCTTTTTCCTGTTTCACGTAGTCGCCGCTGCTTCTGATCACTGCTGGACATGAAGGACCACGAGCTGCATAAGGTTTGCGCTAAGCTGACACACAGCTGGAATTCTGTTGGGGCAATTTGTAGTTCAGTAGGTTAAGGGTCTGTATCTGGAAGGTTGTGGGTTTGAATCCTGCAGCTGGCAGAGTAATTGTATCACCATTAGGCAACTGAGCAAGACTCTTAATCCTAAATTCTGTAGTAACACTTTACTTGCGGGGACACGAAAAATATAGTATTATGCTATTACTTATCTATTAATTAACCACAAACTAAGTCTCTGTTACATGATGATCTAATGTTAATTTATTATTAATGAATTATAATACATATTTTATCTCAAGAAGTTACTATATTTGTTACTGTATATTAATTCTGTAAACTTTTGTGAACTACTGAAGGAACAAATAATGAATGACATGTGAAATATTGATCTCATATTGGTTCATCAGTAATGAATTGTGAAGCATAATTTATCCCAAGTGGTTACTATATTTGTTTCTACATCTGGAAATTCTGGAAATCTTTGTGAACTAATAAAGAAACTACTGAAGGAACAAGTAATGAATAACATGTGATGCTGGTCTCATGTTTGTTCATCATTAATAAATCATGACGCATCTTTTATCTTAAGTAGCTACTGCGTTTGTTCATGATTTGTACGTCAGTAGTAACTGAGTTATTTCTAAGTATTTGTGCCCCATCAAGTAAAGTGTTACCAGTTCAGTGAAATTGGACACTGGCTGGCTCTGTTCTTTGACCCCTCACTTATACTGTAGATCACTTTGGCAAAAGTGTCTACAGAATACAGGTAAATATTTAAATGCTGAACATTTCATTGGGTCAGAGAAAGATATCTTAGAACTGGTATATCAAGCTGACTGGTGTGAAACTAAGCATATTATTTTATAATACGCATACATCTGACAGATGCATATATCTGATAGATACATTCACCTGACAGATGCATATATCTGATAGATACATTCACCTGACAGATACATATATCTGATAGATACATTCACCTGACAGATACATATATCTGATAGTTACATTCACTTGACAAACTTGAAGTTTGCCGTCACCAGTTTCCTCTGTACCTTGTAGTCAAAGCTGTGAAAGGCTAGAGAGGCTTCCACCACCGGTGCAGCTCTGTCAGGAGGGATGATGGTTGAACCCATTTCTAAAGCTGTAGCTCTGTCCTTGTGTTTCTACTGCTGGATAACATTCCCCGCAGCAATCCAGGTAATGTGCCTTTCGAAATGTACAGCAGCAGTTCATCCTCATGGACACAAAAAGTTCTGAACAGGGACTATGATAGGATACACACACACAGACACTCACACAGGCTAGCGGTGCATGGGGGTGCATGGGGGGCGTGGGGGGTGCCTGGGGGGGCATGGGGGGGCGTGGGGGGTGCCAGACGGACCTCACCTACGAGGCAGGGAGGGAGAGGTCGGCTTCGGGTTGGTACTGCTGTCTAACTCCTTCTGCTGCTTTTCTATACAGTAAATTTTCTTGCCTATGGTCATATTTACATCATAAATATCTGTGTTTCTGTGCAATATGAATGTGTGTGTATATGTACCTATGTGTGTCATTGTACGCGTGAGCTGTGTGTGCTTGACACCAAGATTTGGCATCGTCAACCTACCACACACTGCCTGGCCGATTAATGGAATTTCTACATTATATTTAGAATAGAATAGAATAGAATCGGTGGTATCGGTGGGCCTCGCTTACATCTGCTGTGACTGGGTGTGTTTGGTATCGGTGGGCCTCGCTTATATCTGCTCTGACTGCGTGTGTTTGGTATCGGTGGGCCTCGCTTATATCTGCTCTGACTGCGTGTGTTTGGTATCGGTGGGCCTTGCTTATATCTGCTCTGACTGCGTGTGTTTGGTATCGGTGGGCCTTGCTTATATCTGCTCTGACTGCATGCTGATGTTGGTGCCCTGCCCACATGTAGCTGTCTGCTGTCAATCACTTCTTATAATGTGTGTAGCCCACAGATTGTAACATGTGCATGCGGGGGGGCTTTAATGAGTGCACATACTGGATGAATATTTGTTCCAGTCAGAACGAGGCACAGCATCAAAGTGCTGAGAAGAGAGTGAGAGGGACAGAGAAGAGGAGGAGGATAGAAAGATGCATTCAGGGAGAGGATATCCAAAAAAGAAGAAATGGCCGTCCAAAAAATGATGGGAAGGGCTGAGAGTTATCCATAAATAAGCCAGAAGTTATATACTGCTGTTCTTTATAAACACTGAACAGAGGCTTGTCTGAAGAAGGACTGCCCCTTGTCCCCTTTTCATCCACATGATTGGCTGGCTGTAATAGCAGTCAGCCAATAGGAGCGGGCCATCCCACCACAGTAATACGCAATAGACGAGTTGAGAAACTGGCCAAGGAGGAGGAGCTCTAGTACAAAGAGAGAGGGGAGGGAGAGAGAGAGGAGGGAGGGAGAGAGAGAGCGACGGTGAGCCCTGCTTCATCCACCTTGAGACGGTCTGCTTGTGTCTCTCTTTATGCCAGTGTCCCTCTGCTCCTCTGCCCCTCCCGCTGTTGCAGGCCTCTGTGTCTCCTTTTGCCCCTCTGCTGCGCCCCTCTCCGTACCGCGCCGTGCCAGAGCCGTCGGCTCAGCTGCACTCCCACCGCAGATATGGGCTGTCGGCTGTCTGGATTGCGGGAGGACGATGGCAATGGGGTGAGTGTCATGTGCATTTTGGGATGTGTCATTTGAGGGGGTGTAAGAAGGTGGTGTGGAGATATGCAGTGTAATTGGGGGGGGGGGTTGGTACTCTGGGGGACTGCTTCACTGTGCACCATGCATGTGTGTGTATGTGTGTGTGTGTGTGTGTGTGTGTCTGCTCACCTGGGGACAGGGACGCACCAAGTGCTGGAAGCCTCCTCACTGCCTGAGGCCGTCTGATCGAGCTTCGTCACATAGAGGAGTCACCACCGCCTTTCGCTGGCTGCGTGTGTGATCAGAATGTGCGTGTTTCCATCTGTGTGGCTATCTACATATATGTTAGTGTGACTGTATTAACACATCCGTGCAGCAGCATTCTGTCTGTGTATGTGTCTGTGCTTTTGAATTTGTGCTTACAGAATTGTGCAGGTCCATGTGTGTGTGTGTGTGTGTGTACATGCGTGTGCGCATGTGCATGTTTGAATGCATGTCCATACGTGTGTATGTGGTTGCAGCAGTAAGTGGGCATGTGCACTTTCTGGTGATTTGTGGTGAGGATAACCAGGAGTGATGGGGTCAGACATGACCTCGTCTTACTCCTTCTTTCTCTCTGGAAGGGGAGGGGTAGTTGGGGTGCGGGGGGTGCCAGGGGAAACTCCTTTAGCATCTCCATGGCTACATGGCTATTTGTTCCTCAACTAGAGTCTTGCTTTTTCCTGAAACAGATCCTGTTTTTCACACAGTGTTGAAGCCATGTATCTTAAGTCGCAGTGGTTTCAGTTAGTGGTTCATAGGATGTCCTGTCGTGTACACAAGGCCCAGTGGAGATGCCTGGATGTAGGAGCAGCGGGGTCTGTCTATTAGAGTATACCCTTCTGCGTGACCAGCAAAGCTGACCTTACCGCATTATGCAACTGCGTGTTTACAGCAAACTCCTTTTTGCAAAAGTACAACTGACGAAGCCCACCTGAGATTTAAAAAATGGACACGCCTAGCCACTTCACCACAATTTTCTCCTGAAGCATTATCGTGCATTGTGGTACAGTGTAGGCTAGCCATTTTCGTTTTTTGTTTTTTTTTTTTTGCTTTTGCAAATTATTTTAAGGTGAGCTATCATTAAAATTTTTTGTAACATCAAGGGCAGTGAATATTTTGCATCTGCCTTTGTTATTAGTAACATGTATTGGTGTTTGGAAGTCTAGTTGACTATTCAATAGAACAATTATGTTGAGCATCTTGTTTACGTGCCTTGGCTGAACCCAAGAATGATATACTTTCACAAGTGAGATTTTATTGTAGTGATTTTGCTGTCTGAGCTGCCTTCAGAAATTCTTGCATGATGTGGAGACTGATTGTCATTGCACTCTTAGCCTATTAGCCTTCCAAAGGGACTTACAGAGAAAACAGGAGTAGTGTGTCTTTGTTGAAAAGTGTACCTGAGTGTTAATAGTTTCGCACTGTTGGAACAGTGTGTAGTGGCACTGTCAGACTGTGATTGTCTGTGTAGCTGAAGAAGTCAAGATGAAAAGTTGGTGAGCGCAGTTACATTCCTGCTGGCGATGCACCTCAGGGAACCTATGGATGAGCTGATGTTCTGGTGCGAGCAGTAGAACATCTGAAGAAGCATGTCTTCAGCTCACCATGGCTTTGAATGCCATCTGTGGTGATAACAGAGCCTCTTAGCACCCAGTAGATGCCACATGAACTGCGAAGCAGGGCTGCAATGGCCAGTGACATTCTGGGGATCCTGAAAAGCCACTGCTCAGCTTTGAGGGTTTTTTAAACTTATCCAAGTCACAGCTAAGGAGTTATTCATGATAATTCCAAACCCATCAGGAAGCTATTAGTAGATGGAGGAGTTTATGAAGAGTCAGCAGCAGCATCATTTACTAATGAAAGCTGATCCATTATGGAGCTACTGGTTTTGTACATTTTGCTACCAAGGTAGTGCAGGATTCTTTCTTCATTGCTGTACATCTCTGCTGTAGAGTGGAATCCACGTGGGTAAAGGATACCAGGAGGTTCACGGCTGATTAGTGTCATTTACTGCACAACTGCATTATAATCAAGGACATCAGCATAAATGTTCTCGTAAAAAAACTGAGCATTTGAAATAAGACCTGGTTGGAGAGATTTTTGCTGGACAAACATCCCCAGGAACATTAGCAGGCAAGTGCTGAAGCAGAATGCCATACCGTGATGGTAACCGAGCCTCAGATACTTCCCGATGCTGAACCTCTGGTATTTCCTGCTGCTGCCCTTGGAGGGACCTGCCTGATGCTTCTATAAGCAGAAGCTAGATGTGCTCATCTGATCTAATCAGAAATGTACAGCTCTTTAAATATGCAACAGTGTGAGGTTTTAAGATCATTTCTATCAAAGCATCTGCTAGAGAACAACAATAAAATCATAATTACTCATTATTTACTGAATTGATCCAAGATATTAGCATTAGCTGAATTTACAAACCCAAACAAAGAAAATGAAATACCCTGACAGAAACATACTTGCTTTGCCACATGCACACTGTGATTTTTCTCTCTTTAACACATTTGTAAGTGCTATGATTTTTGACACGTACACTCAGCCAACCTCAGTGATACTGCAAAGTCCACGGAGCACCCAGTCCTTGAGTATGTCTGTGCTGTAAACTGTAAGATACTGAAAATTTGTTTTCAAGGTCCTTTGCTCATATTAATATCAGAAAGAAACATGATGGGACATACTTTTTTTAAATGAAAATTTGGATATGTTTTTGCTAAATGCCCTCACACTGCATTTAAAAAGGAAATGTGATCAACAGGCCTGTCTGAGACGGGGAACTTGATGTTGAACGATTTGGTGGCACGTCTGTATTTATAATTTTTTTTTATTTAGATGAAAGTGCGGGACCTGTCTCAAACCAGCCAACAGGATTCCCTCCACATGCGGGGTAGCTGCGAGCAGCCAATCACGCTGCAGATAGACGGGCGGAGGGGGAGATACCACCAACACCAGCACCATTCGTGGCCAACCTCTGATTGCAGTCCTCAGGCGGAGAACACGTGGCCAGCCTTCAGGTGTCTGGGGATGTCTGCAGGGTCGACGCCCCAGATCAGAGCTTACGCTGACAGGCAAGCTGCATCTGTCTGAGGGATACTGGGCTACTGGGCACTGCATCTGCTCTTGTTTTGTGCAGAGAGCAATACCAGCTAATTTATTAGTGCTGTGGCATGGCCTACCGAAAGGTCCCGTTTCCCTGTGGCTGAGGGGCCACATAGCACCAGCAGGGGGAGCCATTTCAGGTCTATCCTCTGTGTGTTTTCAGACGGTGCTGCAGTCACATGACCCAGCCACAGGACCATTATGCCAACCAGTACCTACCCAGCATCCCCCTCACCCTGGATAACCTGGTTAGACTGGAGCACAAGGTGAGCCCCTGCCAACATTCCGGAATCCTCTAAGCTCCCTTTGTTCATAGGGCACTAATATGCTGTTACAGTTTCTGGGGTGGAAGAATGATTGGTATTTGAAAATAGTGAGAATCCTCAGTTTTTTTTCTTTGAAGAGCTAATGCAAGGAAAAAATTGGTATGGTCAATACCCTGATCCTGAACAAATTACACCTACAAGTACAATGAGAAAGAATTCACTTTTGTACAGCATTGGTTGCTTTAGTTACAAGATGACCACATTAACCTTTATTTTGAATGACTTGGAAGCAGGTGACTTACGTATGTTTTACAGTGTTCCCTGACAAGCTAGAGATAATGCCCTTCTTCTGTACCCAAAAGGTAGATGGCCATCTGTTCACAAGGACAGCAAATCCCATAGAGAAGATTCCTCACACATTCAATCCCATTGGCATCTTTTCAAACAATGACTCCCCCCTCATAAATACACCCACAGCTTGACGCTGGTATCGTGCCTTTACGTTCTCTGCGAATAAAGACCCGGTAATCTCTGCTCTCTCCCCTACACACACACATCCCAAATGCTGCAGATTTTGTTCCCCATTCTTCTTGAAATCGTTTGAGCAGAAGCATCGTTTGTGTAGCAGCCATGGTTTATTTCCTGACTAGGCGTTGCCATGGCACCACAGGAACACCGTGTTAGAGTGCTCGGTGTGTGCCAGGCAGGCACAGCTGTTGTTGTTCTAGGTCCACATTGGTACTTAACTCAAAGGAATCTTTCAACCAAAAATCAAGGTTAAATCTGTGTAATTATTGATACAGCCTGTGTATGACTTAAATAGGGAAAAAATTGTTATGAATGCATATTCAAAATCTATTTCTCAAATGGCTCAGTGACGAGACTGTATTTTTAAGCCCTGAACAAATATTGGTGTAAGATCAAATAATATGAGGCCGTTGTTTTATGCAGGAACCAGACTTTTCCAGCTGTGTGCCTAGAAGACGTCATTGTCTTATCGGATGCTGCAATGCAAACACAGAGGAGCCAGGCAGCTTCCTTAGCCAGGTGAGGCCTCCTCCGCGCCACTAGGTGTCCCTGCACCTCAAATGTCATCACACACAATCGCCTGTCGAAAACTTCCCACTGTGTTGAACACAGTTTGAAATATCTACCACATCTTTACAGTTAAGGGAAGCTAAGTCAGCAAATGTCCGAACACAAATGTATCCTAACCCTCCCTTTATGACATTAAGGTCATTTCAGCATAGAGCTTATTCATTTACCTTTTACATTAACGTCTGGATAATTAACCTGTATAATGATGGTCTTTTATTACTGTGGTCCATGACAAGATCTTACCTTTGAGAGTTCTGCTGAAAATCACAGGCACAGCATCTGCATATCCGTAACAGTCTGAATTCTATAAATAAACAGATGAGTGTAACATGCCTTTGGCGATACAGTCACAGATATTCACCGTTTTTGCTTCCATGGCATGGCTGTGATTGTCATGTGACTGATTCTTGAAGCACCAGCCATAGTCGCACTTATATGTTTCTCTCTTGCTGTTGCTTTGTTTACTAGAATTTGTTGTTTTGAGTCCACGTGACTTTTAAAAACTCCTCAATATCCAACACACAGCATAGTATAATATTTAATATTATCTTAATACTGTCTTTAAGATTTTCCTTAATTCTCCATTAATTAATAAAATCTCTTATTCTGCCTGTCTGTCTGCTAATCTACTTGAAAGAACCCAATAAATCCTTCTTAAAACCATTGTCTATTGACCAAAGTTAGTTGGTTAACACCGATGTGCTGTCAAGGACTTCTGGTGGCAAGAAATGTGTTTTATGAAAAATCAGTGCGACAGAGAAGAGTGCTTGACAGTGCAACAGTGCATTTCTATTCCTCTATCAGATACAGGACCCAGAAGCAGCGGGATGGCTGGGTCAGGCCCACGTTAAACGTGGGATACACATAGCACCATTTTTTCTGGTGGTTAGCAGATGGTCACATAAGCCCACACTTTACCAGGTTGAGTTAGCCAGGGTGTCGGGCAGAGCCATGGTGATTAGGTACAATGAGTACAAAACAACAACAGTTATGCAACGGCGCGATAGCAGCGTCTGCAGCAATGCAATGTGACTTGGGATGGTGGCAACACAAGGTGGTAAAAATGACTGGAGGGGCTGATCTAAGCAGTGGCCAGTAAATACCTGGCAGCCGCTGTTGCCACCACACATCAAAACAATAAAAATGAAATATGGATTATCTTCTAAGGAGAACCATACATGAGACAAGGGGCAGACACCCCCATAAAAATATCTGGGACCAGTGCTCATCTGCCAAGGAGCATGTTAAGATTGCACTGGGGTAGATTCATAATAGATAAAATCATGACAGAAATGCACCTTCCACATTTATGTAAATGTCTGACTGTAGTTTTATACGGGCACCATAAACACACATCGCCAATTTTTATCAAAAATCCAAAAAAGCAAAGATTTCTTAGAGTTTGCTTTCCTCTGAACCTGAAGTTATTTCTGACTAGTTGCTTTAATCATGTCTACAGAGAATGTTGGTTATGTGTCACATACAGCTGTATATAACATTGCCTAAACCACTGGTCTCTGTTCATCAGACAGAGGATGAGGACCCCGTATTGGAAAAGCCTGTAGGATATCTGCCCTTGCTACATGAGCTGGACAGTGGTCTGGGTTGCACTGACGGAAGCTTCCACCAGGGGGAGCTGTCTGCAGCTGAAACAGAGGAGGGGGTGGAAGAGCCAGCGTCATCACTACCAGGCCGCACCAGCCATGGCAGCTCCCCCTCCTCAGAGTCACTCATCTCCTCAGAGCTCAGCGACTCCGGCTTCTACAGCGTCAGCACTGGGGAATTCCGCCGTTTCCAGAAACTGCTGGAAAAGAGGATCCGCCTTTACAGGGCACGGATGATGTCTCGGGACCAGAGGGAGGGCGCCAAAGCTTGCTGGGACTTGGAGTCCATCCCCGAGGCTTTGGGTTGCCCATCTAAGAGCAACTGGTCCCTTGAAGCCAGTCCAGCATACACTGTTCACCAGTGTACCAAGGTCCCCTCCTTGGTCCAGTTCAGGAAGGCCGGCAGCCCGCATCTGAGGAGGTACAGCTCCAGTGCAGGCTCCGTGTTCTCTGCTCATGCTGGCCTGTCCCACTGCAGCAGCCCGTCTTGCCAGAGGAGGATCTCTCTGCCACGTCATAACTCCTCAGCAGAGCACCTGTGGAGAGGCCATGCTGTGCAGCAGCCCCTCCCCCGTCCGATGAAGCAGCGGCGCGCCAGTCACCCGACATCACCCAATTATCACGCGGCTGCACTGCACCACTGCAGGTGGCTTTCCACTGGCTATAGGGAGAGGCCAGAACTGGCTCCAGTAGCCCAAATAGGTTGGGGCAACAGACCCAGACAACAGGACGGTGCATCAGACCATCAGGACTTCATACACAGCGAACATTGCAGCAATGTGGACTACAGTTTAGGGATGCAGGATGGTATGTTCCATAAATGGTGTCCAGGTAACGAAAGCGAGAAGGAGATGCTACAGCAGCACCATCATACCCTGGACCACCTGCAGAACACTAACGAAACCTGGCATTCGGGATCCAGAAAGGGCACCGTGGAAGGGCTCACTCCTGCCAGCCGGAAGGCACTGTCAGGAAACCCCCGGGTTCTGCGGAACCAGCTGCTAAAGGCCCGAGCTTCGCAGCTTGCAGATGAGCGCAGCGAGGTGACCACGGACGAGGAAGCACGTGGCGAGGTGAGGGCCGGTCGCTACTGGAGCAAGACGGAGAGGCGTCAGCATCTGATCTCAGCGCGGGAGCAGCGGCAGCGAAGGACGGCTCGGGCGGGGCCCACCAGCGGCGGGGCTGGGGGCTGTAACACGGTGCTGGAGCTCAGCCAGCGCAAGCTGAGCCGTCTGCGGAACCGCAAGCTGCTGGATGACTGGACCACTGTGGAGGAGCTGCTGACCCATGGAAATCGGGTGGGGAGCAGCGAAGAGATACTTTGTCCGAGCCCCCTGCTGTCTGTCACCACGGTGTAATCTTATCAAGAGGCATTACTGCGAGGAGTCAGACATAAACAAGGCAGATTTAAACACCACAGATGTTGGTAAATGTCTTTTCTGTAAGGCAGGAGTTTGATATGCACTGTACATTTTTTTAAGGATTGATGTGACTGATAGGCTGATATTCCCACATATCCTACAGTAGATACAACTACACTTTCATGTGATAATTTAAGCCATTGGATCCTGGTGAAGCACCGGCATGTTGTCTCTGGGCAGCACTGTTGCCTCTCACCTGCAGGGCTGGGTTTGCCAATTCCACCTCTGCTCTGTGTGTGTAGAGCTCACATGATGTGATGTCCCAGTGCTGTGCAGATCTCCTCCTGGAGTCCCAAGGCATACAGTTAGGCGAATTTATGTCTCTAAATTACCCATAGGCTGTGTGTGGCTCATGTATCGGCATTTGGTCTCCACAATGTGATAAAAAATCCATTCTTTTGATGTTGTGGGGACCATCTTTTCAATTTTATAAAAATCTGAACAAAGGATCAATAGATAAAAAAGCAAAAATGCCCAAAGTCTATTTTTTATTTTTTAGTTACTTATGCTTAAGGTTGGGGCTGGGTTGGGGTTAAGGTTGTCATTGTTGGGATTGGGGTTTTTCCCCATAGAAATGAATGGAGGGTCCCCACAAAGACATGAATACAAACATGTGTGTCTGCTCTGAGATGGATACATATCATTACATTGTTACACTGTAGCTGTTAATTATTCTTGAATATTCTCATGATTGCTTTAAGTGTCTAGATAAGTACAGCAGGTGTTCTCTATCAAAGTTCAACAAAGTTCTAACATAATGAAATAATAAGTCACCAGGCTACAAGGGAGACTGACCACACCTGTAAATACTGTACCATCTCAAACTCACAGACACTCCACTGACTCGCTGCAATACGATGCAGTACCATCTCAAACTCACAGACACTCCACTGACTCGCTGCAATACGATGCAGTACAATGGCTATGACACTGGAATCAGAGCATGACTGCACGGACCCAGTCACCATTAAGCACACGGCGGAAAAGGAAGCCGTTACCGTGTTCAGGCGGGTGGCTGTTACCCCCACCCCCCATTCTTTTAGACCAGTTTCCTTACCCACTACCCACTATCGGTTTTTATCACGTATTCTGTTGCATTTTGCATGACTCCGAATTGGTGTGGCATTTAAAAAAAAAATAATTATTTACCTTTCACTACACTACAACACACGTAGTTTATTTTAACCAAAAATCAGCATTCAGCCACCGCTCTGGAGAAGCCCTGTGCTGCACACAGCTTCTTCCATCACTCCCAGCAGGCAAGTCCAGCTCCTCTGTCTGTGATGTACCTTTGGATTGCTTCTTTGTACTTTTGAGAACACCTTTGAATCTGCTGAATATGTGGTTGTAATATAGATAGGATTTTATTAGCTTCAATAAATATTTAGGTCTGCTCATGGATGTCAGCTTCATTGGTGATACATTTCTGTAATATAGCTCAGAGTGTGCATTTTGTTCTTAGAGAAGAAAGACCCTCGTCGATGGTCAAACTGCTCTTTTCTCTTCTGCCTTCCTCAGCTGCATTTTCAGATTAACCAAAGGAAGTATTAAAACATTTGGGGCTTCAAAACACCAGAACCAAGGGTCCCACACCTGCAAAGTATGGGACTGGTATTAGGACCAAGTGCCTGTCCATTGCCCCCCCTCCCCCATTATTGTAATACCTTATAAACCTGCCGATCATGTGATCTGAGAGCAATTATGGACCAGGAGGAGCTCTTTGCAAATCTTGCTTAGATGGAATGAACTGGGAATGCAAAATTCTTTATTCCTCATCAGCATATCAATATCTTGCCTTATTCAAATGTTAAGCGTAGTGTAATGTATAGATAGAAATGAAAGCACACATTTCCTTGAAGAAGAACCTACCATTTGACAGCAAGCCCATCCTGTGAAGTGATTATCAGAGTGTTTTAATTGTAAAAGTGTAATTGAAAGAGACAGCTAGCCGAATGCAATACTTTGAGAAGTGCTTTTGTGTTAAATTTTCCTGTAGAAAACAAAAATAGCAAAAATCTACACAGCTAAGCTTTTTATTATTGTTTTAAGTTTAATCATATCTGCTGCTTCGTTGGCTAATATAGAATACAGAAAAAGTAATTAACAGTTTCTTTGCAAATGAATGTAAGATCAGTCACGCCGTAGCAGAAGAAAGCACTGTGCAGTGTCAGATTTAATTAACCTAAGATGCAAATCCCCTGCTTTACTGATTAAACTCTTTTACGTTTCTAAGGAATCCTGTATCTTCCTTTACTTTTTGCTAGTCAGCTTTTGTAAACCTCTCAAATGAACATACCATCAATCTCAACATTTGAGTTGGAGTTCATGCACTTTGTTTTACCCAAGACTCTTGACATGAATCATTCCTCACACATTCACACCTGCAGCTTCGAACTGGACCTTTAGCTCATTACTCTCCTCAGGATTTTCAGTGCAAGTCCTTTCCCACCCACTTCTATCTTTTGGAGAAAAGCTGCAACGCTCTTCAACCACCTGTTTGCTCAGGTTCCATGTGACAGGAGAGAAATCAGCTACAATCTCCCACAAACTCACTTTCTAGTCGCCTTTATTTTTGTAAACACACGCTTACAAGAGCAGTCGGAGATCCACGGACTGAGATGCCTTTAGATGCGGACATGCAGATCAACAGGTTACAGTTCTGAGCTAAAGACTTGCAGACTCAATCTTCCAGTCATGTCTCCAGATGAGACGATACAAGCCTGAGGGCTAAGCTGGAGGTCTCAGCATTGCGTGCCGGCTTGGAGATGCGGACAGTCTGAATGTGACTGGACCCAACAGAACAGCAAAAGCAAAATGCAACTGTAGCCAAAACAGACATAGGCAAGCTGGGGCCCAATATCTTCAACAGCTTGGAATACACAGGAACTTTTCCTGCCCCAGTTGAAACATTTTGGGCAGAGAGAGGTCCAGAAGTCCGGGTGCGGCAACCTTGCCACCTCACTCCAAAGGAGACCCTCTCTGCCACTCGAAAGGCAGCATCTCACGTCACGACAGTAGGTACCTGCATCCTTCTTCTGCACAGGACCAAGTGTCACCTGATCCAGGCGGAGCATCCGCCATTGGTGGTGACGTTGTCACGAGCATAGCGGCAGGAGATAATGTCCCTTGGTCTCCATCGCAGCACCTGGGCAGCCCGGGTCAACATGGCTGCCTGCCGCAATGGTGAGTGTCCGCAAGCCACGCTGCCTGGTGACTAGGTGCTCCGCTCTCTGGTTCTGGCAGTCCCACTGGGCTCCATCATCACTCGGGCAACACAGTTCCCACACGCATCCCTAGGCCACAGGCGGCACTGCAAGGTGGACTACGCACCAACACTGGCAGGCTTCCTGCCTTCAGCTCCGAAACATCTGCAGGCGTCAGGACAGGGAGACACTTTATACGGCAGATAGTTGCGAACATAAAAGGTAGTAATCGGAAAGGGTAAAAAAACAAAGCTTTTTTATATGAACTGGTCGTGAATAAAGATGTTGCAATGGCAACACTGGAATGACATCATGACATGACATTCGATGACCATGATATTACAATCATATGCAAACTAAACATTTTTACAAGTTGCCACTGCCTATCTGGTTTTGCAAAAGCTAAAACCATTCATGAATATTGTATAATGATATCTAACAAAAGTCACGGCTATAACCAATGTTAAGTAATTAGACCCGTAGTCATCCCCAATGTGGTTTTATACGTGAAATGTTTTTTTTACATACAGGCTGCTTGATTGGCAGTGATAAGGAAGCAGGGGAAAAGGACAGAAAAACATGCTGGTATCTAAACACCCTTTTTGTGAAGGATACAGATTGTCTTGAGAAAGGTTAATGACACTTGAAGTACAATGGCACTCTCAGGTAGTACTGGCTGGGAACTGGGCACGTTTAAAACCCATTATGGAATCCTCTTCGCTAACATATCGATCTCTTAAAACTTAACCAATAAAATATGCTATTTCAGAAGAATTTCTCCACTACTGCCTAGTTTAGCTGATGCAAGAACATACTGTGTAGTTTAAGGGCAACATTAAAATTCAATATAAAATATTTCTCAATTTATGAGCAGACTGCTGTAGTACAAACATAACGTGATCATTGCAATGGACACCTCTCCGCATGTTTAGCTGCGGTCTGGATCCCACTCCCTGGCAAGGAGGAGATCTTTTTTTAAACATACTGCTGTGACAGCTTTGTAGTTAATGTGTCAGAGGCAGCTTCATGTTGCTGGGTGTTGAGCAGGTAGGTGTGGAGTAGTTTCTGAAAAGTTACATTTGAAATCCACAGGTGATGAAAAGTGCCTTGACTGCCTCATGCGATGGCATTCTCTATACCATGGCATTCTCTATACCATGGCATTCTCTACACCATGGCATTCTCTATACCATGGCATTCTCTATACTATGGCATTCTCTATACCATGGCATTCTCTATACCATCACAGCTCCTCCCAGTTTCAAATAAATATAAATATACAGCTAGCTTTACATTACCGATTGCTCTTTCTGACTGGCACCTTTTCTCAGAGATCCTTGCAGATGGTCACACATGATTGCCAGCGTTCCTGTCACGGCCCTGGGCCTGGGATCTCACAGCACAGGCAGCACAGTTTACAAGCTCCTTCTGCTCCTGAACCTTCCCAGAACAAAAGCACCGGCCACCAGATTTACAGTTACTGAGCTGGTGCAGTTTATTCTAAACTGTTTTTTTTTATTATTTTACAGAGTACAGAATTTTTCATAAAAAGAATACACATCCACTGAAAGTACACATATCATGCCTACATCAAAGTAACAAAAAGAAAGATAAAATAGCAAGAGATGGCAGAACTATTCACACACTGTTTTAGGAAGACAGACAGATGGGCCGCAACTCATCAGCATTTAGTGCTTCCAGGAAATCAGAAGAGCCCAAATGTTTTTAACCCCAGGAAAGCTGGCGGTTCGGGCACAGAGCGCCAGTCATCTTCAGCTGCTCCTCATCCTCTGAAAGTTCCGGAGGGAGCGCAGCAAAGAGCGACGTGGCATCAGGGGAGGGGCCCCAAGTGTCCATGTGTGGCAAGCAACAGGTTCTTCCACACCTCCCTGACCCACCCTGACCAAAAGACTGCCATGAGCTGAACACAGGCATCCCCTGCTGAACGCTGTCTGGGGGGTGGAGGTGCTGAGAATCGATCAGCAATGGGGCCCAGAGAGCACTGCTGAGGAGAGGGGTTTGGGGGGGGGTGAGGTAGCCAGCGTGACCCCCCTGCTCCCGCAGGTGTTCAGACTCAGTCCAAGCCCTGGACTTCGTGCTGTTTGTATGCTGGTGGCACCAAACTCCCTGCAAAATTGTGTCAACATCATCATTAGATCAAAGTGACACATACTGAGGAGACACAGCAGAGCAATACAGTGAAAGTAAAAACACGACATTCCTAACCCATAAAAAGCACCAGAAGCCCAGTAAATAATAAATTAGCGATGACGTGTTCCTGGATGCAATAAATTCATGATATGTAAATAATGGCAAAAATTACAAGCATGTACAAGAAGATATGGAACCACTACACATCGATACTGGATGGTACGGGGCCAGGACACACACAGCAAATACATTCAGTCTCATGGTTAAATGTCATCATGTTGCTCTAGAGTGGGAGAGTATTATTTTGCTTGCTATGTATGACTCAGGACAAGCAGCAAGCGAGAGAGAAGTCCTTCCGGATCTCTGCACAGCCGTGTCACCAAACTGCTATTTACAGCCTAAAGTACACTCCCTTCTGGCTTCTAACCTAGAGGTGCTCTTGGTATGTCCTGCCTGCAGAGACAAGTAAGAGGAACAATGGGGGGGGGAGGGGGTCATTTGTCCACTATAATGCACCCTGGCGACAGCTGGGGGGGTGGAATGGGCATTCAAAGCTGGTTTAATGGTGCAGTCAGTGCTTCACAGCAGCCTGCTCTGCCAATATCGCTGCATCCATATAAGAATATAAGAATCAACACTGCAATACAATGTACCATGGTGGCAATACACAAATATTAGTAATATGCATTTTTAAATATATATAAAGGTCTCTGCCTGGTAAAAAAGTAATGCTCCATATGTACATTCATTTATATTTTATGTCACCTTGCATAACATTCTATCTGCCATACAGTTTGGTCTTACAGTGGATAACAGCTCCATCTTCTGGACTCATTTGGAAATGATTTCCCTCTTCAACACTTTAAACTGTAATTACTACACAAGGTTTTCGTTTTGGCTTATTTTAAGTAGCTGGCAGGAGCAAAATGTATCTCACAGGTCTATAGAGTCATGCATCTCCACCATGCAAAGAAAAAGATTTGATTAAAAACTTTGTTATAATCTGAGATCTGATCATCTGCTACAAAACTATAGCATAAAATTCATTACAATATCAATCAGAAACTGACCATATCTAATTATACCACTAAAGTAAAACAGTTCACTGTGCTCAGTAGTAGGAAATGATGCACTTGGTCCTAATACCAGTCCCATACACATGAGAAGAATCCCAGCAATGTAAAAGCAATGATGTATTAAACACATATATACACAGAGACATATACAGGCAAACACAGACCCGTATGTCCCACGGGCTTCTAGCGGAACACGCTGTAGAGGCTCAGCACTGTAGGAGCGGAGCAGGAAGGGCAATGAGCAAGCAGGAAGTAGACAGGACCAGTCACAGGAAGTGACACGCAAAGTGGACGAGCAGAGGGCAGGTGGATTCGTGGTGAAGGAAATGCCCCTTTCACTGCATGTCAGCTGTCAGAAGAGGAACTTAGCCAATGACTGAAGTATCCCAAGACCCCCAGTAAACTGCTTATTAAGCTTAAAATCTGACGTTAAAAAAAAAAATTAAAATTAAAAAATAAACTTAATTTATTGTATTTTACATCTTACATCAGACACGGTGGCAATGTTGCTTCAGTCCTCTCAAATTTATCACCACAACATCCACACTTATGATAATATCCATAACCAAGTGGGATAATTAATGAAACATTGTTAGTATAAATAACATTAAGCAGACAATGGTTATAATCTGTGCCTGACATATTCTTTGTTTTAACAAAGTATACAATCAGAGACAGACTAGGTTTTGGTTTATAGCAGGAGCGCTGGATTAGCCGTCAGCTTTGGTGAGAAAATATGGTGGAAAAATCGGGGGCCGCTGAGAAGCAAGCATCTAATGAAGCCTTGCAGTCCTTGGGGTCCTTACCTGCTGTCAGCTGTCCCGGCTCTGCCTGCACTTTGCCCTTCGCTGCTCCTCCTTCCAGAGGGAAGACCCTCTCCCCCTTGAAGGGCTTGCTTTTAAAGGGGGAATCTCTCTCTTTACCTTTTGATCCTTTGGGCCGCCCTGCTGCCTTCTTCTTGGACTTGCTGTCACCTTTCACTCCCAGCAGGGGGTGCACTTCTGCAGTGACAGAAATGCATCCATTTTCAATAACATTTCTATCCTTTAATGGCGGTCTGTCAGTCATCACAGGAAGCCTGGTGCGAGGCCATGAATGTCCCCCCACTGTACTCCCCCTATATTACAGATTATACCGGTTATTTATTAGAGTATAAAAAACCTGTGAGCTGCTGTCACCCCAAAGTGACACTGACATATACACAGTACCATATCCACAGGTGGATGTTTCATTTTCAGTAACCTCCCTTTTTTTACCTTTTAAAATCATAATCTCAGTTCCTTAAGAATTGTCCTCGCTACCAACACTAAAATCCCACCTGCATTACCCGAGCATTACAGACCACAGCAGAGTATTTCTGGATAAAGTTTAAGCTGGCAAAGATTCGCCATTAAGCTCAGGGAAAAGGCCACACACAACAGCAGCCTGCCGGAGTGTGGCCCCCCTCCCTTACCATCGCTGGGGACGCCCTGCAGCTCTATGGTGGTGGTGCGGGCCTTTTTCTTGGGGGGGGCTCCTTCCGCAGAGGGCTGCCGCTGCTTCTTATCGCCGCTCCCAGAATGGGCAGGGCCATCTTCCGTGTTGGATTCAGGCGGGGGCCCAAAGGGGTTTTCCTCAGGGTCTTCCACCTCGGGGGCAATGGGCAGGTACAGCAGGGCCTTGAAGTCCTCAAGCTCTTCATCGCTGTGGAGAGAGGGGCCCGGGGCCCCAGGAGCTGACCATCGGGCTTCTCAGGGGACAGCGAACCCCCACCCAGCAGTAAAAACTGCATTCTCACTCTTACATGGGATTGAGTTATGCAACAAAAAAAAACATGACCAGAATTTGTTTTCTTTTTCGAGATCCCTTATTTAATCAATGGAATGATTTCTAACAATTCTCCTCGGTCATTTCTCACCGATATACTGATCAGTAATTAGTAACATTATTCCCATCATAAAATAACACATGAAAGCTGACCTGCTACAGAAAGCCACGATAGGGTCAACTGAGGTCACGTCCACCTCCTCATCCTCAGCAGCGTCTGCACCTGTTGGGCCGAGGGGGTGGGGGGAGGTGTCATATCCATGCTGGGAGGAACGCTTGGGGGGAAGACTGCTTTCTGTTCCACTCCCTCTTTCGTTTCAGCATGTGTAGTTTTCTGACTTAATTCTGCTTCTTTAGACACTAATACATTTGCAGTTACCTGTATAAGTGCCATTTCTTTATGTGGCTCCCTTGCCTGGAACATTTCCTCCTTCCTCTCAACTATCACCCACCTCCTCATCCATCCCTCCATCATGCCACCTACCCAGCCCCAGCTTTGTATAGCACACGGTACAAGTAGACACCTTTAATGGAACGCCTGTCCAGTGCAGCACACATACACAGTCATGCCCTCTGTGAAACTTTGACAACCTAACTGCATGTCTGTGTGGCTGGAAACTAAGAGGTGACCTGTTCAGCACACAGAGAACAAGCAAACTGCAGAGACAGGGCAGAGATGGGCCTTGAGCCCCCCCACCCAGCAGGTGGACGATAACAGTGCCAACACTGAGCGACCCCCCCAACTCACATAAAAGCTTTGACTGTAATCCAGAGAGGTGCACGTCATACATGTTTATACTGACACAAATGTCAGGATAGATAGAGTGCATGCGATCAGACAGACAGACATACCTTTTTCTTTTTTTAAAATCTCCATTTTACATACAAGCGCAACAAGTGAAAAAAGAACCACAGTAAACTGTACTGTTTGGGTCTGTTAATTTAACCTTAAGCCCCCCACCCACCATAACAAACCTCCCGTCGCTGGTATGCGTGAGCAATGTGACTCAGCGTCCATCAACAGAGTAATTGGGCCAGGCCCGATTTAGCGTGCTGTTCCATTTACGCACTCCTGCGTCAGTGCTTCTAAAAATAGGGCCATGCTGCAAGATCCAGCACCATCTGTGTTTGCGAGAACGGGGGAGGATGCGGGACCTATCAGTGCAGTTCGCCTGCCTACCCCCGCTGTGCCAACCTGCTCCACCATATTTAAGTCTGTTCGAAGGGCTTCTTCATTTTATGCAGTCGATCGTCAGCTGGGCAGCCAGACTCATGGCTGAGGCTGCGGGTGTTAGGCCCGATCCGGAAGCAGCATGGTGTGAGGGAAGTCGGCACAGCATCGAAATCTGTCCTCTGCAGTGAATATAGGCAGCTGGTAACTCTACGGAGTGTAACACAGGCTACTGAGGAATTCAGGCTGTTGGTTCATGAGACAGGTGGGGAAACTGCTGTTGTACTACTGAACCTTTTTAGTGTCCTGCTGTATAAACGTGTAAAAGCTTTGGATAAATGCAAATATTTAATAGTGTTATAACTAGGGCTGTCAAAATTAACGGGTTAACGCGGATTAATCCAACATCATGATTAATCTGATTAAAATTTTTAACGCAATTAACCCATCTGCAGCGCAGAATGATTCAAAATCACTGAAATGTCTCTGTCAACCCATTTCGGGCAGTTTAATGCGTTCCATTTCCCCTCGGAACTTGTATTCCGAGTCGGATTCCGGAGTTTTGAAGCCGGAAGTGACTACATGCTCTCCCGTTTCTCAGAGATCCGAGAAATATCTCGGAGCAGCACAGAGGATCCCGAGTTCAGAATCCAGGATGGCTGCGCCCTTTATCAACAGAAGGGAAAGTTGTAGTCTTATACTGTTTAAGCACTACTTCTCATTTGTGCCTCATTAAATCGGTCGCACACGCTATACCATCCAACTTATCTGTGGATGTCTTGCTACGGAGTTTTATACGTAAAGCACCGAGCGTAATGTGTTATCAACTGATATTGCTAACAATGGCAATTAACCGGGCTAGAATTGGACTTCATGATTAGTTGGATTATTTGTCGGATTTACGGTAGTTCGTGCTAATTGTAAGCGAACGAAGATAAAGACCATTTAAACTGAGGTACCTTAAATCCGACAAGTTGTCCGGCTAAGCAAAAAATCTTGCTTTTTGATATGGGTCTATGGTATTGCACTTCTGTGGCAGATGGAATGCATCCGACTCATGTTCAAGATGTTCAATAAACATGTTAAGTGCATATATATTCCCTTTTTTCTTGAGTTTGTTTGCTCATGCAAAATGAAATGTGATTAATATAGATCAAAAATGAATGATATTTAATCATGATTAATCAAAATTAATCCAATGGAACCCTGTGATTAATCTGATTAAAAAAAATTATCATTTGACAGCACTAGTTATAACTACTGTTGAAGAATTCACATATTCAGCAAACTGTCCAAGTGTATTTAAAAGAAAGAGAAAAGTGACAAAAGAGAAAAGCTAAAGTCATGGCAGATAAACTATATACCTCCCCTATATACCTATATACTATATACCCCCCATTTGATACAAAACATGCTCATTGTGTGATCTGACACTCTCCACCAATCACATTAACTTAAATCAACTACTCGGAAGAAAAAGCCTGTGTCCCCAGACAGACCGAGACCGCAGGTTTACAGAAGGAAGCAACCTTGTAGACTGAAGCAGAGAGGCCTCTCAGTCCTCTCTCTCAAACCCGGAGAGTGCACTTAAGGTGCTTTCACACTCAAGTTCTGGAACCTGATCCCGGTTTAAGTCCCTGACCTGTCTGTACCTGGAACTTTAGGAGCTCCTGGCCATTTTCATGTGCCACTTTCAGTCTGCACAACAGGAACTGGGACCTTTATGCTAAATGATCATGGGAGATGCAAAAAGTTCGTAGGTTAAATTTAACACATAATTTCATACTGAAGTACAACGTCACTCCAAAACAGTGGAGGATAAAGGAGTCATTTTGTTAGTCATTGGGGAGGGGGGGGTCGATCGCGATCAAAATGGGACTCAGCCTTTTATTTATATGTTCATGATTCTTATTAGATCTGGCTGACAGATCGGCGTTTCATTTTCCACAGAATAGAAAAACAATGTAACGTTATCCTGCTAATATGCACTGGCACTGGTACTAGACAAAAGTGTATTGGTTAGCGATCACATTTTCTGATGCAGAAATACGAAGACGCAAGCAATAAATGTATTAATCTATGAATTAAATTTAATTGGGGTAAAAAAAATTACTACATCTGCTCAGTTTTTGCTCCACTACATCTCTTTTTCTGCACTTCCGTGTAGCTACCTTGTTAGCGTCAGTGCTTGTGGTCAACAAGCTGTGGCTATAAGCGCCAACCAATCAGCAAGCTGTGGCTGTAAGCGCCAACCAATCAGCAAGCTGTGGCTGTAAGCGCCAACCAATCAGCAAGCTGTGACTAACTGCTTCTCAAGTAGCTTGTGTTCCAACGAAAAGTAGTCTGGAGTAAATAAGGGTTCCGGAACTGCCTCCGAGGAGCTACAATCAAGCAGAGTTCATTAGATGTGAACAAGACAAAAATCCTGGGTTCTAAAAAAAGGCTTGTTTCCAGAAAAAAGTTCCTGCGGTGTGAAAGCGCCTTTAGACAGAGCACAGTCACATTCATGGCGGGAGAGCAGACCAGCAGAACAGCTTGGAATGACCCTCCACACATATCTGTGGTCTGGAGCTCTGGGCCAAAGAAATACTCTCTAACCTTTGGTTTAATTATAATAAAGAAAGTCTGATTGGAAAAAACCCAAATTATAACTGATTAGTCCTCAAATTATTGATACAAGATCCCACGGTACCACTACTAATAATAATAAAGAACAATAACACCAACGACACCACAGACGCCGGCAGTGACGATGACAGTGGCAGCACAGACGCCGGCAGTGACGATGACAGTGGCAGCACAGACGCCGGCAGTGACGATGACAGTGNCCGGCAGTGACGATGACAGTGGCAGCACAGACGCCGGCAGTGACGATGACAGTGGCAGCACAGACGCCGGCAGTGACGATGACAGTGGCAGCACATACCCGTCTGCTCAGGCTCACTCTTGTCCTCGTCCTCGATGTCGAACTCTGACTCTCTCTCCTCATACTCCACGTTCTCGTCCAGCTCTTTGAAGTCGGGTGCGAAGGCACTCCAGTTTTCCTGAGCCGCCACATGAAACGGGGCTGTCAATGTTCGGTGGTCTCCAATGGAACATTAATTTACTATGATATTTTTTTTTACTTCTCTGCATTTTGAGTTTTGATCATTTCTATAATGTTCTTGATCTTTGTTTTTCTGGAGCCTACTATTAGAAGTGAACACTGAACCCAGACAAGAGTCCCTGCCCAGCTCCACACATACATGGGATTAAACTTCCTTTCGGTTCATTTTCACTCACCACTTGGTTTTGGGCCCAGATGGACACGACCCCACTGGAGATGGAAGCAATGATGGGTCTTACTGGGTGCCACTGCAAAGACGCAAGGTGCAGGTTAGCACAGACACACACGGAGAAGCACGCAGGAATCGAGATGGATAAAGGAAAAGAGGACAGGCGGCCAACATGGATGGAGAAGGGAGGGGGGGGAAAGGGAGGGGGGGGAAAGGGAGGGCCAGCCTACCGCCACGTCCAGCAGAAGCTCCCCACGGGTGCCATGCAGGATCTTCACCAGGTTGCCAATGCTCTTCTCCCAAATGTAGAGCGCGTGCTGGCGGGCCGAGCCGGCCACAATGTACTCGCCATCTCCGGAAAAGCAGCACTTCTTCCAGGGAGTCCTGGGGGGGGGGGGGGTGGAGGGCACATGGAGTAAATACAGGAAGTACAACTCCGATCCTTAAAACACCAGTAAATACAGGAAGGGAGTAAAGTACAGCTTGAGTTTTTCACGCAGCTTTAAGCTCAGTGGTGTAAACAAAAACTTACATTTAAGAATTGATGATTTAATAAAACCGGCATTAGCTTTGGCAGCTCAAACCTTGGCTGCTGTAGGTTGTTACTTTTGAGCTCCTACATGGTATCATACTGTAGTACTGCTGTTCTGCCCACACATACGGTTTTGATTCATAACGAACATTGGAAACACAGAATAAGGAGGACAGAACTGCTGCCTCACACGTCCAGGGTTGGAAGCTTACACGGCGTCCCCATTTCAGGAAGGTTTATCGTAAGACAGGCAGTAAGGCTAGCTGGCATCTCTAAATCGCTCACAGGAAGCGTATGAATGTGGGCTCTCTGCAAACAGACCTGCATGCCACAAAGGGTGCACAACTGGCAGTGTATACACTGGATGAGAAAGGATCCAGCCCTTCCCCATGATCCTGCACTGGATAACATTTTGAAATATGGACAGATGGTCTAAATGACGTACAGTGTCAAATCTCAACAACGGACAACAGACATATTTTTAATAAACCTATAAAGTTAAGGTAATGTCAGTTGCTCTCAAAAAACAAGCACTGGACTTCTCCATTTTTCCCCCCCCCAAAAAATTCACAAGTTTGTGAGAATGACCCACATTTGAATATTTCTTTAATGGTTTAGCTTAAACTTGTGAAGTACAGATTATTCATTTCCAACAATGATACAAGTACAAGCTGAATTCCAATGCTGATGAACACATGGCAATAAGAAGAGAGGGTATTGTATTATAAGTAGGGATGTCAAACATTGTTTGCTTGTTTTTTTAATCATACATGTTGGCTATTAATGGTGTATACCACATGATCCTACAACTGCATATACGCAACAGGCGGATCACAACACTGATCCTGACTGTGTGCTTGATGTAAAATCTTTAACCTTTTGGGCAAATGTCTAACCACTGAAAGTACACTTTTTAACATGAAAGATTTTAAGGCATAAAGCTTCAATAAAATAAAACAAATATTGCAAATTACGATATTTTTATCCTATATATGTCTCCTCTCTGCAATTTTTTTAAAACAAAATAAACCTGGTAACATCAGCTTCCGCTGAGACACTACCTGAATGTTTCGATTTTAGTTCGGGATTCTGTGAAACGTCACGACCGAAACCCTCACGCTGTTTACAACCTGGAAGATAAGAGACTATAAGCCTCTATTAAAATCTATGCCCATACTATTCTTCCATTTGGGTAACGAAACACAGCATACATTATCACAATCAAAGATATATCTTGCGACTTTAACACAAGGTGTTAACGCAATAAACTTCCCAGCCCAAATTTTAATATACAGAGACAAACCCTTACATACATGGATTAGGGAAGCCGACAAACAACCAATTAGGAAATAAGAAGAACATGGGATGGAGCATCGAGCAGTGGGAATAAAAGCTGGCTCGTGTTCTTTTGGATATTAGATGGATATTACCATCTATTGTTAGCGTCTCCCATTGGCAGTCGGCTGATGGACTCTTCAAATACAATTTAATCTGGACCGCACGATCTCCCACTTGGAAATTTCACCCCCCGATCGGAAACGTTATCTGTGAGGAACTCCCCCTTGGCTATTTTTTTTCCCCCAGATGCATCTGACCTTGGCTTTGTGTTACTGCTATTATTTGGCCCCCGGGGTAGGGGGTTGGATATCTCTGCTCTGTAGTATTAACCTGTAGCTGTGCACCTACAGGACAAGGTACAAAATAAGCAGGACCACATTCTATTCTCAATGTGTCTGCTGACGGTTGTGCTCCATATGGCAAAAGCAAGCCGATGCCTTAGAAGAGTGTTTCCGGTCCTCAGGGAGCCCCAGACAGCTCACATTTTTGCTGGGAGCCAGGAGGGAGCAAAAACGTGGACTGTCTGCAGCTCCAGGGCGGGAAATACTTCCTTACAACATGCACTGACATGTGTCTCAGTCCCTAATCACACCCGAGGCGACATGAGGGCTAGAATTACTAGTTCTGGAACAATAACTACCTACATGTCCAAATATGCTCGGGTAGATGAAATTTTATATGTGCACATCTCTGCTGGAGATAGTGACAGCTGATTGTGGGTGCTGAGGATGGGCAGGTCCAGCTCACCTGTTCACCAGGTCCTGCAGCTTCTGCATGGGCTCTGGCTCGCCGTCACGGCCGCAGGTGAGGATCTCCCGGCCGTCATACACACGGATGATGCGGTCGGCCGTGTTGATGAGGAAACAACTGGGAACAGGATATCAGAGAGACTCATAACGGCCTTCCCAGTGTCATCTGGGATTTGTCCAACTTTGATATTAAACATACAGGAATGAGATCCCTTTTTTTAACAATCATTTTCATTTTCTGCCAATCTGTTCATTTAAACTTATTTTATAGTATAATTCACTATTTCCCTCCGGGGGGACTGCATATCACAGTCTGACATCTTATTTGGATCAACTGGACACAAGAGAGCGAGCTCTGTTAGCCTCACCTGCCCTTTCGCGCAAACTCGATAGATTTGATAGCAGTGGTGTTGCTCGTTCCCGTCGTCACCCTGAAGGAAGCCACCAGGTCCTGGTTGTCCGTCTTTAACACCAGAATCTTGTCGACAAAACGGGAGTTTAAGGTGACAGCTCTCTCTTCACACAAGACGACTCCCAACAAAAAGATTGTAATGCTTTTGCGATGCAATTATAAGATTCATCAAATACTTTTTGATTCATCACATTCATACGGTTAAATGCTGTCTGCTTCTACCATTCCCTTTGCTGCCACTAAGTGGCATTTCTTCAGTTTTTGGGGCAACCCATCTCAAAATTCAATCAATCCCAGTTCAGCATCCATACAATGTCTGGGCAAAATTTCAATAGATCCGTATAACGGATTTTTGAGTTCTATTACCAAACAAAGCACCTGTGACGGACCAGTGCAAAAACAATATGCATTCCTTGTAGTCTGGGGAAATCAAAATGTATTAATCGCTTTATGCAAGCCAAAGACAGAACACACAGACTTCTAACATTCATATGGTGACCTCTCTGTTTTACATGCCTTTTCCTGAAATGGAGGGGAACACAATCTCTAACCTTTCCCTTGGCATTGCCAGTGTAGATGTACTCTCCACGCCGGTCAAAAGCTGCCACTACATTGAGGTCCGAGTCGTCATCCACGGGTAGGACCACGTGCTTCGAATCAGCCAGCGTAAGCAGTACTGGGGCCGACTTCATGGGGCACACCAGAACTTTGTTCCTGTGAGGTACAGTAACACTGCTAATGCAAGACACCAGCTACTCAAACAGTGAGGCCACATTATCCAGAAAGGACCCTACTGCTTGCCCCAGCTCTTAACCTGAATCAATTATAGAAGCACTTCAGTCTCCATTTAAACTGGTGAACTGTCAGGCTGAAGAGCAAACTGGATAATGTCAAAGTCTCTGCAGATAAAAGCATCTGTCAAACAGCAGTCAACCTAAGACCAGGACTATCGATCAGATTTAAATTTTACTCCAATTCAATTGACTTAAACAGAATACACCACAGAAAATAGTGCACATAATGGTTTTTATGCTTTTACTAAACATTTATCTAATTTACAGCTCCCTCTAAGCTGTTTTGATATACGCCCACACATTACAACTCCAAATGAATTAACATTAGTACAACCGGCGAACACATGTGACAGATGCCATCTGCACAGAAACTCACGGGTCACGTGGGTGGTACTGCACTTTGAGGATTGGTGACGGGAACCGGAACCTCTGATCACAATCGCCAGTGAGGACGTCCCACAGGGACACAATGTTATCCGTGGAAGCACTGACAAGCTTGTGACCATCTCTACTCCAGCTAAGAGGCAACAAGAGAGAGATGATACAAGCATGACCTGCAGTTCTCAGGTCTCCAAAGATCCATGCAAGCCCCTGAGTCAGAACACATATTCACCACACCAGGCACCATACTTTTGGTACTCCAAGAAAGTACTGTACTTCAAGATGCTGGTTTTCTACTGGTGTAAAAAACTGGTACCGGCGCAGAATGATCATCAGGCTATTTTGTACTGAATTTTTAAAAATGGCTATAGTTTATTATAGGACTGGGTGATGTGTGATATTAATACCAACACTGCATGTTATGTACATGCAATTCTGACATCGAAAGGACCACAACATATAAAGCTATTCCACAGTGCAGTGTGCAGTATCTGGGGCTCTTATATGCTTCCGGGGGGGGGGGGGGGGGGTCACTTCACCTGTGCAAGCCAAGCTCCTGGCACCAACACCACCAACTGAACTACACCAAGCAGTCCCAGAGCATGCCCTCCCCCCCCACCCCCCAGACAGCAGCGTTGGCATAAACACCCATAGACAAACTGACCAGAGCGAGCACACCGGGTGTATATGGGCGCTGATGATCTTGGCAATGCCACGTGTGAGAAAGTCCCAGATGACAATGCGGCCATCATTGCAGCCCACAGCGAGCAGCGTCCCCCAGCGGTTGAAGGTGCAGGTGAGGGCCATGCTGATGCAGTCCAGGGTGCCATCAGCCTCCTGAGAATCAGAGCGCAGTAAGACACACCGCTGCCAACAGAGACACTGTTCTGGGAGCTTGAAAAATTAGCGGTATACAGTCCTATAGTTTAACTTTAGAAGTGATTTCAAGTGATTTCATATTACTTGCTGGATTCAGTAAATTGTGTGTGTGTGGGTATACAACCATAAAGTGAAAGCTAGAATATTTATATTAGTAATTTATACAGCTCACTAGAAACAAAATTACAACTTTCAAATAAGTGCAAACTGATACAAAAAATTGCAATGATATATGAAGCATTAAATTAACTGCTTTGAGAGATAATTGCATTATCTTAGCAAGTCTTAACTCAAATTAGCCACAATTATCAATAAATGACATTGCTTACTTACCTCTGGATAATTCTGCCCAAATGATTCTGAAAAGAAAAGAAAACTGGCCATATGTTAAGCGGAATGGCACAGAATCTATATTTTACATAAAACAAAACCCAAGCAGAGACATTAAGAAATAAAAATTCTACTAAAAAGTTCCCTTTTACCAAATATATCTGTTAACATTATTAACCAAAAGTGTCAAGTGCTAAAGAACTTCTTTTCAGAGTAACGATCGTGATAAGCTTCTGTTGTAGACTGAAAGTAAAAATCAAAACAATTTCTTCATGTCAGGCTTCATTCAATTTAGGCATTCACAGAAAACATCGTACAAAAAATAAGTAGTGTTACGGCTGCTCTGATCTCAGGTGAACTGCTTATCTGCTTATATAAAAACGGCAATTTATAGTGTTTTAGTCATTGCTGTTATATTGCCAATTAGCCAAAAACGGAATGAGAGAGACTTAAAATTGCACCCACGTATTTAAGAGGGTGCGACCGAAAAGACTACTGGGATAACTTGTTAAAATGCACAAAAACCGGAGAACTCGAACCACTTTGGTCATGGAGCCAATAAAGAAATCACTCTGCCGACGCTGAGATTTGAAGCGGCAGCCTTCCGATCACAGGCACAGCGCCCGACCCGCTGGGCCACAGACCGCCCCCAATGCTAACTGTAAACAATGGCGCCGTTTTGGTTTTCGGTTTAAGGCGCATTAGCAGTAGTCAGTAATTCTTTGTATTATGTTTTATCACTTATATGAAGTTTATACATTGCAAATACTATGTCAAACGTCCACGACTACATATACACATTAACAAGCAAGGATCCCCTTCACGTTACAATAACTATTGCTGAATATGTAGCAAGCTAGCAATCCACTGGTGGTACTGATGCTGTAGCAACAATTCTCGTTAGAATTTAAATTACCAAGCAACTCCAGATTCATGGCTAATTCTTCGTCTTGTACCGAGTCTTTAAAAAGTCTTCAAAAGTAGTTGTAAAATCACTTTCCACGTTTATTTATCAGAATCCATAGTTATCCGGTTAGGCTGCTAACTAGAACCCAAGAGGGCGACTGGCGCCTAGAAGCAGCGAAGGACCCAAGGTGTACAGCGATTAGCTTTACCCCAATAAAATAATAAAGAATTTCAAATAAGGATTTTAATTAATCGTCTGTGGTATTAATTTTAAGACATTTCATAATATCCTTTTTAGTTTGTATATATTTCATTCATATCAAAACAGGCATTTAGAAAGACACCTATCGGCATTTTCCATCGATCTGCTCTCGACTGAGTCTGAAAGTAACGACGTAATTAATGTTATTTTAAAGAAATAAAACTACTGCATGTAAGTTTTTAACACCTCACTCAACAACAAATTGTTAAAATTCCCTGTAGTTATTATGGCATGAGAAATAGACCTACTACTTCCGGGTCTTCCTCAGCCACGTGCATGGATCCATTCTCGCTCACATAAACGCTGTAGGGAATTCCGTAGCTGACCGAAATGAACATCGCTTTACAGTCTTAAAGCAGTACAAGTACGCCTGAATACGGTACTGGACCAAGATGCATTTAGACAGAGATCATGCATGTATATTCTAAAACTTTATTTAATTGTTATGTAGGTGTTATTTTCTTGTTTACAAAGATCTAGCTAGGGATGAACAATGCCACTATTTTCTTTTCATAGGGTGGCGGTAATAGGGGCGGGTGCTTTGACAATAAAATTTGCCAGATAAAAAAAAACAGTATTTTAACATTAGAATCAATACTCAACATAAAAACATTCATGCAATATTTCAGTAACAATCTGCACATCCCTAGATTTAACCGTAACCAGATCAATAGCACTTGCCCTGTGTTTTACGACCTTGTTATAAAAAGGCAATCAGGAACCCAAAATCTCCAGCCAGAACCATCTGAAAAGCCCAGCAGTACATGTAGCAGTGCTGAGTTAAGCATTTGGGGGCCACTGCACAATGCAGTGGTGCATTGTTGGTTTATCTTGTCAAAAGGCCATATTATTTATCGGATTATGGTTTATCAGATTGAAATGTAAGATTACATGAAGCAGATATCAGCTGCATGAAAGCCTTGAATTTCTCTACCGGACATAAGTTAATGGTGAGACTGCAGGACCTCAGTGACATGAGAGACACTTCAGGCCCATCCTGCATGCACCAACAGATCCTCCCGCAGCAGTGCCAAGCCCAGCCCTGATTCTAACCAAGTGGACCTCTACTTTGCCCCTCAGCCTACCACACTGGACTGGTTTCAGGTTGCCACTGCAATCTCACGCCTGTCAGCCTGGCTACTCGAGTGGGTGTCAGTGGTTTGGGGGCATGGTGGTGAGATGGTGTTCGGTAATATCCGCTTTATCTCTGAGTTCAAGTCCATCTTTCACTGTCCTGTCTGCGGTGTGGCAGCTGGGAAAGGCCCCTCCAGCTCTCTCACAGCTGCATCCTACGCTGTGGAATTCTGCACTGTCGTCGCTGAGAGTGACTGGAATGAGGCCACTCTGTGCTCAATCTGACACCATGGACTGAACTGGGAGATCTTCACTGAGGTAGCTTGCCGGGACACTGGTGCCTCATTTGATGGAATAAGAGAGCTTTCCATCAACCTGGACAGCCACCTGAGGCAGCGCTGCCACAACTGCCACTGTCAGCAGAACCAGAGGAACCCATGCAGTGTATATTCACCCAGCTTGCTCCGGTGTCCACTACTCCTCTGTAGGTCATTGTTTCTACTGCAGCCATCTGATCATCAGTGCCTCCAGTGTCCGGTTCAGCCAGACAACCCCCCAGTGCATCGAGAGGGCATTGTCACAGCCCACTCCCACCGACATACAACCAAAGTCCTTGTACCATCGTGGTACAGTTGTCTGCTGGTGACCAGTCTCTCCCTCTCCTCGCCCTGGTAGACTCCAGAGAAGCTGGAAACTTTTGGTGTCCCTGTCTGACCTCCATCGAGGCCCTTGATGGGTCCCCCATCAGCATTAGCACCCTTTGGTACATCAATGGCGATGATGTCTCTGTCATGCACCATTCCCTCCCCCAGTCCTCGCCCCAGAGTTCTAGCCGGGTTTTCACCTTCTCCCAATATTTCCCAATTATTTCATCCCTAATCTATCCTCATGTGTTCTACCTGTGTAAGTCATAATTTAAATTAGTGTTCCTATACTCTTTGTCTACCATTTGGTGTTTTATGGTAATCCCCAGTGTCTCCTTGCTCAAGTTCTCACACGCTCTAGCCCAGTCTGCTTCATGAGGTTAGCCTTTTGGTTTATGTGTGCTTTTCTTGTGTTCTCTGTTCAGGGCTGTGCCTGGTGGATTGGTTCTGCTTTGTTACTTGATTAAACCTCCACATTGGCACTTGTGTCTGGACTCCTGGGATTCCTGCCCGCTGTAATTGTGCATATTGTGACAAGTCTTACTACTGTAGGTATTTTCAAGGAGCACATCAATATGAAACACTGAATAGGCATATCACACAAAATCTAATTTAGCCTCCAATAATCCCATAATTCAGATTTTCAGTCAAGCCACTGCATACGTCTATGTAGCTGACTAACTGGGCTTGTTTAAAAATGACCCAAATGTCATCCTTAACAAACTATAACTTAATAACTTACAAGGTTAATGTGATCTAAAATGCAAAACAATTTTGTTATTGATAAGTGGCAGTGTTTTAAAATAACAGAAAAATAAAGGTGCCTTTAGGTTCTAATCACAATTTGGATAAAAAGCATAAACTTTATCTATCACAAATTCACAATGCATTAAATGCTGACAACGTAGTACTTTTCAAAATGGTCAGAATTTCCCGTTAATCAGTATGCAGTAAACCGATGTTGTGTCTCTCAAGCTAGGATACAGTTTTCATCCCATTTAAGACAAACCACAGCCGTAAAATAAAAATCACCTTCCTACCTTTGTATTACATCTCTGGTAAACTTTAACAGTGGTGGCTGACATCATATAATAGGATGAATGCAATCTAAAGGGCACACGCACATGTCTGTGGGTCCTTGAGCAAGGCCCTTAACCCCCAGCTCTAGGGGTGCTACATGTTAGCTACCTTTGCTGCCTATGGTTTCATTCGTAATTTGCTGAATGCTCTGTTTCTGCTGCAAATTAGAGAACTGTAACGACCACAATGCACAGTTTTATTGTGGAACTAGACGCTTTTGGTAACAAATGAAGTGTCATTTCGCCGTGTGGTGAGTCTGAAGTATTGTTCAATAGTCTACAAGAATTCCGTTTTTCGAAAATTAGAAAGTCATCAAAAAGGAAAAAGATACGGTGGCATTTTGCAATAAAACGGGGTTCGACGTATAATTTAATTTGGGGCTTATTGTACGTGGATGTGATTTGTTGCATACGGAGCTTGCTGTACTTTGTTATCGTAAGACATATATCAACGTTTATAACAGGCTGTCCTAGAGAGAATACAACCTACTATATGGTTTCTGTTAATGTGTCTCGTGTACAACTACATACTTATCATACGCGTCGAAATTTTTCTTCAGCTGCTACCCAATCATACTTTTGTTTAAAGTATGGAGAGTCATGATCACTTGTTCAAAGTACTAATTATTGGGGACTGTCGAGTTGGGAAGACATCGCTGGTGCACCGTTACGTGCACGAAAAATTCTTCAAGAGTTACAAGAGTACAGTGGGAGGTAAGTATAGTGTACGCCAGTCAGGACATTTAATCTCTGTCTTCCCTGACGTGCTCTTCGAAGCCGAACGGCGCCCCAGGCAAGTGTCGCCGTCGGCGCCGCGCTTCTCGCGGTAATGGTTATGGACGGGGTATGAACGTGGTGGTAGTGTCTGTATATAGAACACAAATTGAGAATGTGATTCATTTTAAACTGTATTTAACTTTACAGGTGCAATTAAAACTCGGTAAGAATGCATGTGATATTTTTAAAGAATTTTTTTACTTTCTTTTTCTGTTTATTGAAAACGTATGAGGCTTAGCAGATCTTTCAATACTGCTGGAGTATTTAATTGTCACAGAATAATGTGATGGTATGTATTTCTAGTGGACTTTGCACTGAAAGCTCTTGCATGGTCTGACACGGAGACTGTACGACTTCAGCTGTGGGACATAGCAGGTAAGCTGTTACGCTGATGGTCAGCATCTGAAAAACCATCCATGCTACTGAAATGTCTAATAAATTATACCTTTTAGGTGGAGGTCGGTAGTAAAAGAGTCATTCCACCGAATCGGTGCCATTTGTGTCCCCAGGACATTATATATGTATAAATATGCATGAAAATTAGCTTTATAATACACGATATTACCAAGTAGTGTACGTGTCCTCCCCATTGTACTCATTGCAAATTTAAGGTACATTATGTAAAACATTAACGAAAACTACCCAGAACACTGAAAAAAATAGTTACATGTTACAATTCATCATGAAACGTGATAAAACCTTCTGAAATCTCATTTTTGGGATTGTTGTGACTGTTTATGCTTCAAATACATTTTCGTTATAGTAAATCAGGGATGTCAAACTGCAGTCCTGGGGGGCCGGAGCCCTGTGTAGCTTATCTCTGTCCCTGGTCCACCATAAATGATTCAGCTCAAGAGCTGTGTGGTAATTAGCACAAGGAGTTGAATCAGGTGTGTTAAATGAGGGTAAACACAAAAATGTGCAGGGCTCCGGCCCCCCAGGACTGGAGTTTGACACCCGTGTAGTAAATCAATAATATGTTAGTTAAAATACACATTTTAGTCGTGTCCCCAGGATTTCACTCAGTTCTGTTACCTGCCCCTAAAAAATTGGCACATTCCAGAAGTGGCATGTTCACCTATAACTCGCATCATCTCAATCGCCTGAAGACCACAGGAAAATCAGAAGTAAGTTCCCTCACTTTCCTTTCTGCATTTGTGATAATATTCTAAGTATGTCTGAGGTGGTCAAACTCAGAGCTCAGTCTTGTTACTGAAATAATTTCTTAGATTTTATTCATTTATTAAATACATTTTTGCTAAGTTACTTGAATCTACTCAGTGTTGTCATACTATTAGCTTTTATGACATGTGGCTATGGTTCATGAATTTGCTAATTTCCTGTTACTTTCAGTTATGTTACTCATATAAAGAGAAATGTACTTGCACGCATATATGGTGATTTTTTTTTTTAACCACAAATATATATTTTTTGAGCATGTAACCAATAGTTTCTTTAAAATACACATTTATTTGAGGGGAACACAAGAGAACTAGTTGATATGATTTTCAAATGACATTTAAAAAGTTACTTGAAGAAGTTTCGGTAACAGGATTGAGAGAAATTGAACAATGTTCCACATCAAAACCTTCAACAACCCATAAAAAAATGAAATAAAGTTAAAAATGCAAATTTTGAATAATTAAATGTGTGGTATTATATTCAGGGTTGAATAAGATGAAAAAATTAACTTTATGCTTGAAGGTTTATAACATGCAAATGGCACCGATTCCATGGAATCACCTCAGAAATAAAATATTTAAAATTATGTACGTCCTGTGATAATGTGGTCTTGAATCTTTTAAGATGCATGTAGTATTAATTTGTGTAATACTAAATTGAGTTATTGTTTATAGAGTATTTTTACAGTCTTGTATGCTTGGTGCTTTTCGCCCCGCATTATAAGCTCTCTGCTCTGGCTCAGCAGTCTGATATTTGTTTCCTTACCCTGATCCTGATCCCCCAAATCTGACTGTTAACACTATTCAGGTCAAGAGCGTTTCACCTCCATGACCAGGATTTATTATAAGGGTGCATCGGGCTGCGTGCTCATGTTTGACGTCACCAGCATCTCCAGCTTTCACAGCTGCCAGAAATGGAAGGAGGACTTGGAGAGTAAGGCCCTTCTGGTGGACGGTAACCCTATCCCCTGCATCCTGCTGGCAAACAAGGTAGGTCCAGACCCCTGCCTACTAAAGCGAGCACAAACACTACAACTCATTACAGTATTAATTGGATGTTGTAACAAGCAGATGTAGTGATTAGAAAACATTTGAGCTGATGTGATTCCACTCTAAAGGGATATATGTGATTCTCCTGTAGCTTGCGTTAATAATATGAAAGTCATGAGTTTGAGTCTCAGGAAGTGTACATAAATTGAAACCCATCCCTCTACTGGAAGTTGCTTTGAATAACAGCAGCACATAAATTTAATGATTCCTTCACACTCAGATAGTAAAACATTCCTGGTACACTGCTAGAGTCAGATTTTTTTCTTAGACAGTAAAAGGTAAAGAAAAAAAAAACGGAAACTTTGTCAAGGGCAACTATGGAACATGAATTGCATCTAGATGGATTAGCAGGGTTAAAATTAACCCAAGTCTAGAGGAATCTGATTTGAATGACTTGGCAAACACCTTATGGAAGACAACTGGTTCCACTTCTTAAAACATCCCCTCGATTGGAGCATTGGCTGGCTTCTCACATGATATCCAGCTCACTGTTTTAATCTTATACATGTACCACAGTGTGATTTATCACCTTGGCAAGTGTCAAAGGATGACGTGGAGACGTTCAGCAAGACCAGCGGCTTCATCGCCTGGATGGAGATATCAGTCAAAGACAACAGAAACATCACTGAATCCCTGAGGTATGCCAGTGTTTGAAGTTGGTGGACAATGGAGGTCGTAGTCGATGGTCCGGGTGAGGGTTGGAAGAGCGGCGGCGGTGATCAGTGGCCAAGACGGGCTCGTAGTTGATTGTCTAGGTGGAGATCAGGCAAGCGGCATTGGCAATCAATGGCCATTGCAGACACATAGTTGATGGTCCAGGCAAAGGTCAGGAGAGGGGTTCATCCTACTGAACGGGGCTATCCCTGGCAGGTTCATCCTGCTAAACAGGGGTATCCTGAGTGGGTGGATCCTACTGAACAGGGCTATCTCTGCTGGGTCCATCCTGCTGAACAGGGCTATCCCTTGTGGGTCTATCCTGCTGAACGGGGCTATCCCGGGTGGGTGGATCTTGCTGAACGGGGGTATCCTGGGTGGGTCCATCCTGCTGAACGGGGCTATCCTGGGTGGGGGGATCCTGCTGAATGGGGCTATTTAGGACACTGACGGCACAAACATTGATGGAGGTCTCCAGAACAATCCATGCTTATTGGTTGTTAAAGGGAAAAGTATAATTAATGGTTAATTTGATTTAGAAGTAAATTTAGATTTAAAAACCCAAAATTATACCAAATATTCTTCTATTTATCATTCAGTGCTCATGTTTGCACTGATCCAAAAAAAACTATTTTCAGATGTTAAAAGGCCTTCACTTCATATATATAAAATTACAAACAATAGGCTTAACGTCCCTCCATGATTAGCACTGAAATCTGAAAATACTGTTTTAAGTTATCAAGAAGAATTAATTATTTTGATGATTAATGATTATTAAACTAAATGTCAAGGTCTTTGAAATAGAAACAGAAAATAAGATAAATTGCTGGACAAAAATGCTGAGCAGTGAATTGAGTATGATTTCTTTAAAACCTGACCTTCCCATGCAGTCCAAACACAAACCTTTAATTTACTGTGATATCTGTGGTGCAGAATCTTGGCGGAGAACATGATGGCAACTCAATCAGCTTTTGGAACACCTGAAAACCAGGGAAAAGGCTTCAAGCTAAGCTCCCCTGTAACGGCAAAGGAGGCTACTGGGGACCAGTGTTGCTCAACTGTGAAGAACTTGGTGGAATAAACATTTCTGATATTTCTTTGAACGGGTGCACTAACGTTATGGGTTAATTCATTGAATGTAAATAATAAAGATGATAGAGGTAAATAAATAAATCATTTTGTGTTTTACTTTGCTTATATGTTCCACTCAGTCAGTGTATATATATATATATATATATATATATATATATATATATATATATATATATATAT